GGCCAGCACAAATGATCCTACGAATTTGGAATGGAGTATAGGCACACGTGCCCCGACACCGGCTCTTCTTTTCTCGACGGTTCGATTGGTGCATGACCAAAATTCCACATCGTGGGAGCACGCATCACATCTCCAAAACATGCCCACAGATGCCCATGAGAATTTCCAAGACCTCAAAGACATGGCTCCGCCGCATGTTTGTTGATGCGAGCATACCAGGGAACATCCCTTGAAGAATCCAACAAGTGTACGCGGTTCGACGAGACATACCCGTTGTTCAGAAATCTCGTTGACATTTGGTGCGGTGGGCCAGCGCCTGGGGACTGATGCACGCGCGATTGAGCGCGGTTGCCTGCGATGCGGCGGGGGGTGGTGCACATATCATCATATCATGTGATGGGATGATTTGCACGGTATGTGTCATGTGTTGACCACATATTCAAACAAGGTAGATGCTTACAGATCCACTGGCGTGCCATCTGTCACCGTCGGTGCCGGCGATGGTAGAGGTACGTTGTCAGGGTTGGATTTTATGCACTCCTGATCACCAGCTCGACCTTCAGCGCTATCGTGCGTCATTGCCATAGGTGGATCCGTCCCAATTTCCACCACATCATTGTCCCCTGACTCAACGCCAGCCCTCACCCCGAGACCATCTGCAGTACAGCGGGAGCAATGGGACAAGGTACAATTTATGGAGTGGAAATGGCAGGACAGAGAGCGTACGGTGCATCAACATCCTTCTATTGGTCAGTCTTTCAAATGCATGCAGCTTATTACCTCCCTGGCGCTGTAGAGAAAAAGCCTTGCCACGCCTGGCTCCTCCCCAAGACAGGCCCTCCACAGGCCTAGGTCTCCCGCGATGATCTAGCCGCATAATCGGAAATGAAAACTTGACGCCGGGCAGCACAACGTTCGGTCGTCCCAGCAGATCAGCAACCTTCTCGTAGCCTCCCTGAACGCGCCCGTTGAAAATACGACCGTACTCCTGACGGTGCATCTCGACCATGGCGCCCGTTTCCGAGCGCTCTGACTCGGGATCTGGGTGGAATTGGGTTCACAAATGAGTGAGCACACACTACTCATATTCACCAGAAGGAGCTCCCCAATCTAATATGTCGTGTCCCAACCCCATTGTACAACGTACCGGCGGCTATGCCTGCTGTGATGAGTCGTAGCGTCGCATCGGGTGCTGCCTCTGCCAAGAAATGAATAACGTCGTCGGGTGTCGCCATAGTCTCGCCAGCGAACAATGCGGACAATCCCACACGTAGCACGCACAGCAGAGGCCTCATATGCTTCGATATGTTCACGGTGCCCCTCGTGGCATCCTTGCATGCTTGTGTTGCTGGATGTACACCTGGTCTACGCACATTGGCCATACGGGGGAAACTACACCACCAAGCGGGGAAGCAGGGAAGGGGGTGGGGGGTAGCAGGGGACGGGACAGCGGGAAGCAGGGGACGGGACAGGGGGAAGCAGGGAAGGGGAGGGCTTGGGAAGCAGGGAAGGGAATGGGGGGAAGCAGGTAAGGGGAAGGGGGGAAGCACGGAAGGGGATGGGGAAAAGCAGGGAAGGGGACAAGGGGCAGCAGGGAAGGGGATGGGGGGAAGCAGGGAATGGTTTGGCTCTAAGCACGGAAGGGGACCGCACAAAGCCGGGAAGGGTGGGGGGAAAAGCACGGGAGGGACGGGGGGTAAGCAAGGAATGGAATGGGGGGAAGCAGGTAAGGGGAAGGGGGGAAGCACGGAAGGGGATGGGGAAAAGCAGGGAAGGGGACAAGGGGAAGCAGGGAAGGGGATGGGGCGAAGCAGGGAATGGTTTGGCTCTAAGCAGGGAAGGGGACCCCACAAAGCCGGGAAGGGTGGGGGGAAAAGCACGGGAGGGACGGGGGGTAAGCAGGGAATGGATTGGGGGGGAAGCAGGTAAGGGGAAGGGGGGAAGCACGGAAGGGGATGGGGAAAAGCAAGGAAGGGGACATGGGGAAGCAGGGAAGGGGACATGGGGAAGCAGGGAAGGGGACATGGGGAAGCAGGGAAGGGGACATGGGGAAGCAGGGAAGGGGACATGGGGAAGCAGGGAAGGGTGGGGGGAAAAGCAGGGGTGGGGAGGGGGGTAAGCAGGGAATGGAATGGGGGGAAGGCGGTAAGGGGAAGGGAGGAAGCACGGAAGGGGAGGGGCGGCAGCAGGGAAGGGCACATGGGGAAGCATGGAAGGGCACATGGGGAAGCATGGAAGGGCACATGGGGAAGCATGGAAGGGCACATGAGGAAGCATGGTAGGGCACATGGGGAAGCATGGAAGGGCACATGGGGAAGCATGGTAGGGCACATGGGGAAGCAGGGAAGGGCACATGGGGAAGCAGGGAAGGGCACATGGGGAAGCATGGAAGGGCACATGGGTAATCATGGAAGGGCACATGGGGAAGCATGGAAGGGCACATGGGGAAGCATGTGCTGCGGATATCTCTGCGCAAACTGACCTGCACGGAGGCAAAGGTGTGATGAGCTGTTCTTCCGGTGACAGCCTTATCGATCCTTGGTGTACTTGTTTTGTGCGGCGACTGTAGCATCAAGTCCGAACAGGCATGCAAACTTGATCCGCATCTGCACAAAGGCAACCAGAGCCAATTACCGCAAGCATGAGGCACGAGACATTGATGGACGAGAACGAGCTCATCTGCAAATGCAGCAGCACAAGGCTAGCAATCAACAAAGGCAGCAGCACCTCGTGCGGGCATGCGAACCCGAACAGGAGCAGCGCAATGGCAGCAGAGCCTATTACCGCAATGCGTGAGACGTGACAAGAAAGCGAGATGGACACAGCTTAGGCGACCAACGAAGTTCTCAGGCTGTGGTAACTAGTCCTGCAGGTAGCCCGAAAAGCAGACAGGGATGGCAGATATGTGAGTTGCAAGGCATGTGCGTCACCAGCAAGGCATGCAACCCGCCCCATCAGCAGCTATTTTGTTTGTGCTTGAGGCACCAGAGAGAGATGATGGGTCGACTCTCGGCTTCTCTGCAAAAGCACAGGAGCCAAGTTATGCAATGCCTGCCTCACGTGGAACGTGGCTGTTCACATGCCTGAGAGTGATGTCATTGATGTGGAAGAAGTGACAGTTGGCGAACTGACTTCACGTGACTGTGCCCGCAGGCATACATCACATGCGGTGTGGGCGGCGGTTGCTGCTGCCGATGCACACACTCACCCTGTACTCGCTGCGTCAACTTCCGTACCACTCGTTCGCAGCATTAACTGTTTCGGCCGTATGCGCATGTTGCTGTATATACGCCAGTAGCACGCTGTTTTTGCACTTGTGTCACCCCGCTAGTACATGTGGGGTTGTGATTTGGCGGCTGTCGTTCCACGAGGGCTCCTCCAGCAATCTTACTTATTGTCGGCGCGCTCAATTCACGCATTCTTGTCCCCACCTTACCGAGTATTAGCGTGGCTCCCTAATGTAGCCCGTGCCCCTAGTCGTCAACCGTGCGTTTTATCACTTTTCTCCCTCCCTTGCGCCGTCCTTAGTCTCCTCCCACGCCTGTCCCTCACGATCTATTGAAGGTGTCCTCCGTGCCTGTCTGCTGAACGCGTCACTCCGCCCTTCTATGTGCTCCCGATGTTTCCTTCCTTCTCTCTGTCCATATGCTTTCCCTACTTTGCTTGCCTACTCGTAGCATCCGTCGCTTCTCATCTCGGGTGTCCGTGTTGTCGTTATCGACAGCTGGATGTTGTAATCTCCTGCGATGCATCATAATCGGCAAGCGCGACGCGATTTTCTGCCGTAGACGCCTGGCTGCTACCATGCACGGTAGGTAGTCGTGCGCTGCGTGAGAATTGTCGAGCTGACATTCTTGTGGTATGCAATTCATGATTGGTGGTCCAATTTTCTCCTACCTACCTTTCTATTGCCTCCTTCGACACCAACACCGAGTTGTATCTCCCTGTTTTCATGTTTTCCCCACCCTGATTGGTTGTGCAGCTATGTTCGTTTGCACGTTCACCATCCAGCACCCTGATTGGTTGCACTCTTTGGCACCTGACGGGTCGCCCTGGTTGTAGGCTGTATGATCAGCCTGGTAGCCCACTCTTTGTGTGGCGAACATGCGTGATGCTTCGCCAGGGTAGTCATCACGATTATATTTTCGCTACACAGCCAAGTAGTGTTTAAAGCCTCAAATACGAAAACCTCTTTGCCATGCTGACCCCGGGCTTTAATCAAACCGAACCTATTCCGCACCTTGCGACAGCACGGCATCTCCAAGGTCGTACACGTCAACAGTGTCCCCAGGTGACTCATCCTTGTCCTGCTGGAAGCTGCTCAGAGGACCACGCAGTGCTGTTCTGTAGCAAACTCGCGGGCTTTCGGCTTTCGGGATCAGCTTGGGTGAATGTGACAAATCAGCCCAGTCGCGCGTTCTCGATAAAAAGAAATTAATTCTCCCGGGCCCAGAAGAACTGTCCACCAAAGTGTGATACACTTCGAATGCGGATTATGATTCGATAGGTTCAGTGCCGTGAGGCCCAGCGGTCGCTAGTGGATGTCTGCCTGTGCTGCCACTGCTTCTCGGCTCGGCCAGCCACTGGCATTCAGATGTTGTTAGGTGGACTTACAACTGGAACTCATGGCTTTTCCTCGTTGATTCTTACTAGGCGTTCCGTGTTTTATCATTCAGACAGCCGCCATTCGAGGCAGGGCGCTTCGCGCTGTGAGTGCCTGTCCGATAATTTCCAGCATTCCGCTTCGCGTTGTTGCATAGGACCCTTTCTTGTTGTCCAGCCTTCACAAGCACGTTCACATCATAAGCCTTACTACCGATACTGAGTAAATTTGACTTAGCATTAGTACCGCATTATCCACATTAGTACCGCATTATCCGCATTAGTACCGCATTATCTAATGGATATCGCTTTCTTAGTACGCTCACGCCTAGGCGACTAAATCCCGACCTCAGCTTATGCCAGCAATAACATATTCTTGACGCCTTAATTCATCGAACATGGCTGTTGATTTGACGTCCGACATTAGGGTTCTGGTGGGGGTGCGCGACGACCAGCATTGCCGGCAGGCGTTAGAATGGACGATCAGCGAGTTCAGCCGACGACAAGACAAAACCGTCTGCCTCTTGCTCACGCACGTCGTCACCGAGCTTCGCAACTCAGGTTCGCCACGTGCACTCTGCTGGCGTGGCATAAATGTCGTCTCAGGGACAGATGGCAGGTCATGATGCGTGGTACTGGTTATCTGCGACCGCGTGCAGCCAGCCGGCTTACGCCCTTGCATTTCTTGTTCCTCTTCCCTCTGTCCTCCCATTTCCCCAATCTTCCAATTCCGCCGGCGTGACATGCGCTAAGGCTATCTGAAACGGACGAGCGTGGCGATGCACATCTGTTACGCGCGCTGCCAGCGCACCCTTCTCATTGCGCATTCCCCGTCCCTTTTCCTTCGTGTGATGAGTCAATTTTTTAATCGACTCAAAAACCCCCTTCTCATTGCGCATTTCCCCCTCCCTTTTCCTTCTCTCCAGCGGCGGCCAGGCCAGCTGGTGCGCCTAACCGCAGCGGCCGGCCCGCGCGTGTTTGCAATCGCGCGCTGACAGCTCACGCCTTCTCATTGCGTGCGCATCCCTTCCCCCTGCTTCCCTCGTGCAGCGGGCAAGCTGGTGCGCCTGAGCGAGGCGGACGGGCCGAGCGTGGCGGTGCACATCTGCGACTGTACCCCTTCTCGTTGTGCATATCATATCCCCCCTCAATTTTCCCCCTCTCCTTGCCCTCTGTCTTCCTCCAGCGGGCAAGCTGGTGCGCCTGAGCGAGGCGGACGGCCCGAGCGCGGCGGTGCACATCTGCGGCCGCGTGCTGCCGGCACACACACCCCTTCTCATTGTCCTCCCCCACTTCCCACCCCCCTCCCCCCCCCCCCCCATCTCCCCCCTCTTCACACCTCCCCTTATCCAGCGGGCAAGCTGGTGCGTCTAAGCGAGGCGGACGGCCCGAGCGCGGCGGTGCACATCTGCGGCCGCGTGCTGCCGGCACGCCCCTTCTCATTGTCCTCCCCCCCTTCCCACCCCCCTCCCTCCCCCCCCATCTCCCCCCTCTTCACACCTCCCCTTATCCAGCGGGCAAGCTGGTGCGTCTAAGCGAGGCGGACGGCCTGAGCGTGGCGGTGCACATCTGCGGCCGCGTGCTGCCGGCACGCCCCTTCTCATTGTTCCCCTATTCCCCCTCCACACCTCCCCTTGTGCAGCGGGCAAGCTGGTGCGCTTGAGCGAGGCGGACGGGCCCAGTGTAGCGGTGCACGTCTGCGACCGCGTGCTGCCGGCACGCCCCTTCTCATTGTCCTCCCCCCCTTCCCACCCCCCTCCCTCCCCCCCCATCTCCCCTCTCTTCACACCTCCCCTTGTCCAGCGGGCAAGCAGGTTCGTCTAAGCGAGGCGGACGGGCCAAGCGTGGCGGTGCACATCTGCGACCGCGTGCTTCCGTTCCTGGAGGCCATGCAGGACGTCAGCGACGAGGCTGGGGTGAGCGATTCGGATTAAATGTATGCAGAGTGGTGCATAAGGGGTTGGTGCTGGGTGCATGAGGGGTTGGGCTGGGTGCAAGAGGGGTTGGGCTGGGTGCAAGGAGCTCGGAGCAGCAACAGTGTGCTGCCGTTTTTCAAAGCCATGCAGGACGTCAGCGGCGAGGCAGGGGTGAGTGAGTCGGTTTAGATGCTTGCATAGTGGTTGGGCTGGGTGCATAAGGTAGCTCAGAGAGCATGCCCCCCCCCATGCATGTGTGCAAGGACGAGGACACGGGAACAGCCATCGCCCCTCCCTTCCCTTCCCTAGCATCCATGCCTCCCTGGGCTTATGTTCCTCCCCTCTCTTACCCCCCACCCCCTCCCTCCCTGCTAGCTGCCCTCCACGGTGCATGTGATAAAGAACGAGGACACGGGGGCGGCCATTTTGGAGGCAGCGTCGAAGCTGGAGGCCACTCACATGGTGCTCGCCTCTTCTGCCGGCAAGGGTGCCAGCCAGTGAGTGTCGGAGTGCGAGTGGCGAGTATAAGGCTAGAACAAGAACAATCGTGCAGTGAAGGTCGTTCAGAATGGCAGCAGCGTTGAAGCTGGAGGCCACCCACGTGGTGCTCGCCTCCTCTGCCGGCAAGAGCGCCAGCCAGTGAGTGGGGAGTGGGCTGGGGTGTGTGAGATGGGAATGAGTGGAGGCCGAGTGAAGCTGAGACAGCAGCTTCGAAGCTGGAGGCCACCCACGTGGTGCTCGCTTCGTCTGCCGGCAAGGGTGCCAGCCAGTGAGTGGGGAGTGTGTTGGGAGTGAGTGGGGAGTATAAGCCTAGAACAAGCGTGCAGTGAAGGCTGTTCAGAATGGCAGCAGCATCGAAGCTGGAGGCCACCCACATGGTGCTCCCCTTCCTCTGCCGGCAAGGGCGCCAGCCAGTGAGTGGTGGAGAGTGGGTGTGAGAGGGGAGGGAGTGAGTGAGGAGTGAAGCTGAGACAGCAGCATCGAAGCTGGAGGCAAAGCAACCTGCTTGGTGCTCCCATCTTCAAGTTGTTCCAATGCCACGTCACCACCACTGTGTACATCACATGACATGACATGATACATATTACATATCACTTCTTTGTTGCAAACAGGTGGCACACCATGAATAAAAAGGAAGCTCAGATGAGTTGGCACTGCTATGGGGCATCTTAGGAGTCACTTTGCCTTGCATGCGTGCTTCTTGTCTTGTCACCAACACAACACAGGTGCCACACCATCAACGCGTGTTCAGACGAGACGAAACTGCCGCCCGGAGCAACGCTCTTCATCATTGAAGACGGCAAGAAGCTCAAATCCATCTCCTCGGGACAGCCCCCCGCCCCCACCACGGTGAGTCGTTTAACCCATACTCAATCCTACTCCAATCCCCACTGCCTGCCACTATCCCTCGCCCCCACTATCCCTCGCCCCCACTGTCCCTCGCCTCCCATCACCCTCACCTCCACTATCCATCTCCTCCTCCTCTCCCCCCTCCGCCTGCTCGTCCCTCACCCCCACCTCCCTGCCCTCCTTTCTTCCCATCTCAGGCGGGCACAGCAGGGTATGCCGCACCAGCCTACGAGCAGCAGCTGCCAGGCATACAGGAGGGGGGCAGCGGCACACAGGAGCTTTCGAGGCTTCTCACAATCTCCCGTCCTCCTCCATTACTCCCTCACTCCCCCCACTCCTCCCCCTTCTTCCCTCTTCTCCCTTTCCTCTCAGGCAAGCACAGCTGCCAGGCATACAGGAGGGGGAAGCGGCACACATGCATTTTCAAATCGACTCAAACTCCCTTCCTCCCTTCTTTTGAGTCGACTCGAAAATAGGCCATTTTCACCTACTTTTCCCCCCTTCAGGCGGGCACAGCAGGGTACGCCACGCCAGCCTACGAGCAGCAGCTGCCAGGCATACAGGAGGGCGGCAGCGGCACACAGGAACCCCCCAGCCCCCCCTCCTCTGCCCCTGCTTCTGCTGCCGCTGCTGGGGCGGGAGGAGCCGCAGGAGGAGCAGCAGCAGCAGCAGTGGCGGCAGGAGCAACAGCAGCAGCGACCAGTGCCAGTACTGGTGCTGCTGCTGCCGGTGCAGCAGGGGCGAGTGGGGGAGGGGGTGGGGGAGCAGGAGACGAGGGGCTATCAGCACTAGAGCTAGCCCGGCGGAACTATCGCATGCAAGCAGCTGCCAAAGCCCAGGCTGCGGAAGAAGCAGCTGGGGGGGGCGCAGGGGGGGCGGGGGGAGCGGGGGAAGGCGCAGGAGGAGGTGCAGGGGGGGGCGCAGGGGGAGGGGCGCCGGGGAAGGGCAAGGGGAAGGTGAAGCCGCCTGTGGCAGCAAAGGTTCGACTGGAGAAGAAGTTTCAAGAGAGAGAGGGGCAGTCGAGCAAGCGGCTGAGTGGCAGCAGTGGAACAGTAGGCATAGCAGCAGGAGCAGCATTAGCGGGAGCAGGAGCAGCAGCAGCAGGAGCAGCAGCAGCAGGAGTAGCAGCGGGGGGCACAGCAGGAGACAGCACAATCAGCAGCAGCGTCCCTACCGGCGCCAACTCCGCTTTGTCCAACCCGCTGGCTTCCTCCCTCTCCATCCGCCTCTCCACCTCTGAACTCGACGCGCTTCCGAGGCAGGATTTCAAGCAGTACACACTTGAAGAGCTGCAAGCGGCCATGGACCATTTCTGGCCGAACAACGTGTGTGGCGAGGGCAGCTACGGGGTGGTGTACAAGGGGTGGCTGGATGGGCAGGCGGTGGCAATCAAACAGCTCAAGAACCCCGATGCGCAAGCGGCTCTAGATGAGATCGACCGGGAGGTGAGCGAATGAGTGTGAGAATGCGACTGTGAGTTCAGAGCAACTTGTGTGGCGAGGGCAGCTATGGGGTGGTGTACAAGGGGTGGCTGGATGGGCAGGCCGTGGCGATTAAACAGCTCAAAGAACCCCGATGCCCAAGCAGCGCTGGATGAGATCGACAGGGAGGTGCGTAGGGGTGAGAGGGGGTGAGAAGGGGTGCGAGGAGGTGCATGTGGTTCTATGGAGTAGAGGGTCTGTGAAAGTAGCCGTGGCGATCAAACAGCTCAAGAACCCCGACGCCCAAGCAGCTCTGGATGAGATCGACAGGGAGGTGCGTGCCACGTGGGGGTGTGGTGTGTGCGTGTGGTTCTAACTTGGGTGGCTGGACGGGCAGGCAGTGGCGATCAAGCAGCTCAAGAACACCAATGCGAAAGCAGCGCTGGATGAAATCGAAAGAGAGGTGAGAGAGGGTGAGAGGGGTGTGCGTGTAACGTGTGGATGTGTGAGGTTTTGTGGGGAAGATGGTGTGTGAAAGTGGCTGTGGCTATAAAGCAACTCAGGAACCCGGATGCCAAAGCGACCCTGGATGAGATCGAGAGGGAGGTGAGAGGGGTTGAGAGGGGTTGAGAGGGGTTGAGAGGGGGTGCGTGTGCTGCTATGGAGTAGAAGGTGTGTGAAAGTAGCATTGGCCATCAAGCAACTCAAGAACTCTGGCCCCGTATGAGATCGAGAGGGAGGTGGGAGGGAGCTGGGAGGGGTTGAGAGGGGTTGAGAGGGGGTGCGTGTGGTTCTATGGTGAAGAGGGTGAGTGAAAGTAGCTATGGCCATCAAGCAGTACATAGACCACCTCAATGCAGTGTGACTACTGGGCTATTGCACGGAGGGCCGCGCGCACGTGTACGAGTTCCTCTCCAACGGCCCTCCCCCTGCTTCCTTTGCTTCCTTCACTTGAACCAAGTCCTCACTTGGATCAAGTCGCGCGCGCGTGGGCCAAGGCGCGCGCGTGGACCAAAGCGCGCGCGCGGACCAGGGCGCACGCGTAAACCAGGGCGCGCGCGTGGACCAAGGGGCGCACTTGGTGGAGGTACAAAAATGCATTCATCACCCCAATGCAGTGCGTCTACAGGGCTACTGCAGGGAGGACCGCGCCCTCGTGTACGACTCCCCCTTTCCCCGCCCCTTGCCCCTCTTGCTGTATCCCCCTCATTCATGCCCACAGGTGGAGGTGCAGAAGCGCATAGACCACCCAAATGCCGTCAAACTGCGGGGCTACTGCAGGGAGGAAGGACCGCTTGCTGGTCTACGAGTTCCTCTTAAGAGGCTGAGTGCGGTGGAATGCGGTGGAGGCTTGGCTGTTGGGCTACTGCAGGGAGGACCGCTCGCGGGTGTACGGCCTCTCCAACGACCCACCTCTTGCTTGTTTTCCTCGCTGCCTTCCCTCTCTCTAACCCTTGCTCCCCATGCCTACAGGTGGAGGTACAAAAATGCATAGACCACCCAAATGCAGTGCGTCTACAGGGCTACTGCAGGGAGGACCGCTCGCTGGTGTACGGCCTCTCCAACGACTCTCCTCCTACTTCCCATGCTTAACCCTTCCCCCCAAGCACCCTTGCTTCCACTGTTGAACCCCCTCCCTCCGCTCCTGTGCATTCCCATAAGTGGAGGTTCAGAAGCGCATTGATCATCCTAATGCTGTACGCTTACTAGGCTACTGCAGGGCAACCGCTCGCTGGTCTACGAGTTCCTCTCCAACGGCTCCCTGGAGGATCGCATGCTCTGCCCTCTCTCTAACCCATGCTGATTCCTCTGCCTCTACACCCCACAGGTGGAAGTACAGAAGCGTATCGACCACCCAAACGCCGTCCGCCTCCTAGGTTATTGTAGGGAGGATCGCTCGCTGGTCTACGAGTTCCTCTCCAACGGCTCCCTGGAGGACCGCATGCTCTGCGTCGGTGGCACGCCGCCCCTCATGTGGCCTGAGCGCTGCCGCATTGCCATGGAGGTACTGTGCGGTGTATTGCTATTAAGTGTGGTGTAGTGCGGTGAAATGTGGTGTGATTCGGTGTAGTGTAGTGTAGGGCGGTGCAGTGCAGTGCAGTGCGGTTGAGTGAGGACTGGGCACTGCAGGGAGGACCGCTCGTTGGTGTACAAGATCGCTCTCTGGAGGATCGCATGCTCTGCGTCAGCGGCACTCCCCCCTTCACGTGGCCCGAGCGCTGTCGCATCGCCATGGAGGTACGCTGCGGTGCTGTGTGGTATAGTGCGGTGTGGTGTGGTGCGGTGTGGGCTGAGGGTGGGCTGGGAGGATCGCATGCTCTGCGTCGGCGGCACTCCGCCCCTCATGTGGCCCGAGCGCTATCGCATTGCCATGCTGAGCTGAGCTGCGATGTGCAATACTGTGTGGTCTTGTGCGGTGGGAAAATACTTAAATGCCCTCATGTGACACAAACGCTGCATGGCCATGCAGATGAAGCCAAGGGCACATCACAGAGTGCACAGGTGGCATGCGTTGCTGCAGGAGGCGTTCTTGAGTTGCCCATCTTCCCCTGCGTTCCGTTTGTCCGTTCAACCCCCCAACACCACCAGGTAGCAATGGGGCTGCAGCGCCTGCGCATGTGCAGGCTCTCCTTCCTATGCTTACCCCACTTCCCCTTAGTTCCTTCCCCACATCCCACTCCCAAATCGTGCTCACTGCGCTTCGCCTTTTTCCTCTCCCCTTCCTCCAACACCACCAGGTAGCAGCGGGCCTGCAGCACCTGCACACGCGCAAGCCGCCCATCGTCCACCGAGACGTGAAGCCAGCCAACGTGCTGCTGGACGACAACTTCACTGCCAAGCTCGGCGACGTGGGCCTAGCGCGCCTCATGGGGGACCTCGCTCCCGGCCACTCCCACGTGGTGCGGAAATCCGTTATCGTCGGCACAGAGCATTATGTAGACCCCGAGTATCTGTGCGCGAGACGAGGCTATCTCGGGCCGAAATCCGATGTGTATTCGTTCGGGATCGTGCTGCTGCAGCTGCTAGTTGGTGATGTGCCGAACCCGAGGAGAATCGATGCGGCGGTGGAAAGGGAGGAGCTGGCCGTGCTGCTCGATCCGAGGGCTGGGGAGTGGCCACCGAATCTCGCGATGGATCTGGCGAATCTCGGCCTTTGGTGCGCGGAAATGGACCGCCGAGATCGGCCGGATCTGACGGAGGAGGTGATTCCGGCACTGTTGGAAATCTGTGAGGCGGCGGCAGAGGCCGTGGTGGAATGGGAGGGGAAGCAGGAGGCTGTGAGGGAGAGGCAGCGGCAGGAGCGGAAGCAGAAGGAGCGGGAGAAAGCGAGGAAGGAGGAGGAGGCGCGGAAAGGGAAGGAGCGGCAGGAGGCAGGGGAAGCTGCGAGGAAAGAGCAGGGGGTGGGGGGGGGTGGTGCGAAGGGGAAGGTCGGGGAAGGGAAGACGGATGTGAGTGTTGGGGGGCTGGACGATGGTGCTGCTAAAGCGCAGGGCGGGTGCTGTGTTTTGTTGTAATTGTGTTTCTTGAATCATGATGTGTTGCTGTGTAGCTTCTCTGCTAGAATTTGGATGAAGTTTGAGAAATTGGTACCGTCATCGCCAGGATAGAAGACATATATGTCTTATCTTATACATTAGAAAAAAAGCTTGCTGTGTCTTGTAATTGGGACGGTTTAAGGTGTCTTATAATTCTTATACATGGACAAAAAAACGTGTAGAAGATACCCCCTAGTCATAAGATTGCCCGTAATCCCTATACTGGCTTAACTTGTACACACCGACAGTTGTGTTATAATCAGGAACACCCATCTATAAGGGCGTATTCCTACGGCCTCCTATCAAGAAACCTCCTATCAAGATTGTACCTTTTGCCTGGTAAAAGTAGCGAGAGATTTTGGGTTTAGGGAATTTTCCAGTGAGAGCTTGATAGGAGGTTTTCTTGATAGGAGGATAGGAATACGCCCTAAGAAACACCCTTTTTAAGGACACCCCATGTCTTCAATTCGACACTGTCTTATATCCGGGCGATGACGGTATGAAGGGTTAGAGGCCGACATGGAATAGATGGATGTGAAAGACTCTCCTATGTAGTTTTACACTGAACATTTCCCATTGTGAGACAACACAACAGGTGAGGGTACATACATATGCTAAGTACCATACACAAGTGGTTCAGCTGAATGTGATTGTACAACAGATTGTGTATGTTAGACCCTGGACTTCCTACATTGTCTATTCCATACAGTATGGTGTGTGCAATGATGAGTGCAGATTGTACATGCAGACTGTGCGGTATATATCCATTATTGACTAATAAAAGGTGTCAATCTGTTGTAATTCTTCCCAAAAGGTGACACCACACTTGACTTGCCTCCAAAGAATATCTTGCAACTTCAAATGATAATAAAATGCTGATTGTACACATGGAGAACAGTCAATAAAATATACTTATCATGTCTTACACGCTACTACAGGGTAATTTGCATCTGACGAGTATCCAGCACAGCTATGCTCTGTAGCATCATTGCCACGAGTAGGCACGCAACTTTATTCTCAACCCATCTGCTCATCCTCCCCCTTTCTCTAGGCCTCTTGTCGGTATCAAGGTAATATTGCTTTACCTTTTTGTTGCTTCACCCCTTTCTCTCTGCTGCACCCTTTTCTCACTGCTTCACCTCTTCCTCTATTCATCACCCCTTCACTCTGCTTCACACCTTGTCTTTGCTTCTCTTTTCCTTATCTCCTCCCCTTCCTACTGTGCTTCACACCTCTGTGCTTCACCCCTTTTCACTGCATAATCCCTTCCCTCTGCTTCACACTTTCTTCTCTCCTCTCCTTCCTGCTTTTTCCCTTCTCTGCTTCACACCCCTTCTCTGCTTCACACCCCTTCTCTGCTTCACACCCCTTCTCTGCTTCACACCCCTTCTCTGCTTCACACCCCTTCTCTGCTTCACACCCCTTCTCTGCTTCACACCCCTTCTCTGCTTCACACCCCTTCTCTGCTTCACACCCCTTCTCTGCTTCACACCCCTTCTCTGCTTCACACCCCTTCTCTGCTTCACACCCCTTCTCTGCTTCACACCCCTTCTCTGCTTCACACCCCCTCTCTGCTTCACACCCCTTCTCTGCTTCACACCCCTTCTCTCTGCTTCACACCCATTCTCTCTCATTCACACCCCTTCTCTCTCATTCACACCCCTTCTCTCTCATTCACACCCCTTCTCTCTCATTCACACCCCTTCTCTCTCCTTCACACCCCTTCTCTCTCATTCACACTACTTCACACCCCTTCTCTCCTTCACACTCCTCTCTCATTCACGCCCTCTCCTTTACACCCCTTCTCTCTCATTCACGCCCTCTCCTTTAAACCCCTTCTCTCCTCCTTCCTGCTTTTTCCCTTGTCTACTTCACCCCCTTCTCTGCTTCTCTGCTTCACCTCTTCTCACTGCTTCACCCCTTCTCTCTGCTTCACCCCTTCTCTCTGCATCACCCCTTCTCTCTGCTTCCCATTCTCCTTCTCTCCTCTCCTTCCTGCTTATTCCCTTGTCTCCTTCACTCCCTTCTCTGTTTCTCTGCTTCACCCCTTCTCTCTGCTTCACCCCTTCTCTCTGCTTCACCCCCTTCTCTCCTTCACACTCCTTCTCTCTGCTTCACCCCTTCTCTCTGCTTCACCCCCTTCTTCTCTCCTCTCCTTCCTGCTCCCTTGTCTCCTTCACCCCCTTCTCTGCTTCTCTGATTCACCCCCTTCTCTGATTCACACCCCTTCTTTGCTTCACACCCCTTCTCTGCTTCACACCCCTTCTCTGCTTCATCCCCTTCTCTGCTTCACACCCCTTCTCTGCTTCACACCCCTTCTCTGCTTCACACCCCTTCTCTGCTTCTCACCCCTTCTTTGCTTCACACCCCTTCTCTGCTTCACACCCCTTCTCTGCTTCATACCTCTTCTCTGCTGCTTCACCCCTTCTCTGCTACACACCCCTTCTCTGCTCCACACCCCTTCTCTGCTGCACACCCCTTCTTCCCTAAGGTAGCAGCCCTCCTTCCTTAGCAACACTTGGCACCTTCGTTAGCAGCCTCTGGCAGCTTCCTTAGCAGCTTCCCCACTCCTTCACCCCCTCCTCAGCATCACAGTATTAAGGAATCGACTGGTCGGTAAGAAGCGCGAGATTCACAAGGCACCAAGAGGCAAAGGACCCTCCGCACCCACTCCAGTGTGGAAAAGTCCGTGGCATCGAATTCTCCTCACCCACGCCAGTGAGGAAAAACTCGTGATGCCTGAGTCACCCCAAGGGAGTTGCTACCTGGAGTGTGTGGTATCCTGCGAGCATGATTCTGCTGCAGAACCATACTCGACAAGACCAGCCTCCATCACGACTTCCTTGAAGCTTCCCGGGCACCGTATGCCACAGCCTCTTGGCCTGAGCATGCACACTCAGTTGCCTAATGTTTCTCCACGCCGCCCACCATCCCAGTCAACCCCTCGCCACCGCTCTGCCCAAAGGTTTTTGCCACTCTCCCCCCCAAACTCCTCCCTTCACAGAATCACGGCTGCTTCTGTGCGGCTATTTCAGTTAGGATGATTCAGTGCGGCTGCTGTCTGCTACGTCAGCTGCGTCGACGGTGTTGACCTGCTACGTCGGCTCCATCGTGAATGAGTTATCATCTGCTACCGTGTAGGGGTTTAGCTGCTGCTGAAGGGTTTTTCCGCTGCTACCAAAGGAGTTTTCCGCTGCTGCCGAAGGGGGGTTTCCGCTGCTGCCGAGAGGGTTTTCCGCTGCTGCCGAGGGGTGTGTCTGCTGCTGCCGAGTAGTTTGTCCGCTGCTGCCGAAGGAGTGTGTCCGCTGCTGCCGAGGGGATTTTCCGCTGCTGCCGAAGGGTTTATCTCTGCTAAGGTTTATCTCTGCTGCCAAAGGGGGTTTCCGCTGCTTCCGAAGGAGGTTTCCGCTGCTTCCGAAGGCGGTTTCTGCTGCTTCCGAAGGAGGTTTCCACTGCTTCCGAAGGGGGTTTCCGCTGCTGCCGAGAGGGTTTTCCGCTGCTGCCGAGGAGTGTGTCTGCTGCTGCCGAGTAGTTTGTCCGCTGCTGCCGAAGGAGTGTGTCCGCTGCTGCCGAAGGAGAGTGTCTGCTGCTACCGAGGGGGTTTTCCGCTGCTGCTGAAGGGTTTTTGTGCTGCTACCGAAGGAGATTTCCGCTGCTGCCGAAGGGTTTATCTCTGCTGCCAAAAGGGGGTTTCCGCTGCTTCCGAAGGAGCTTTCCGCTGCTTCCAAAAAGGGTTTCCGCTACTTCCGAAGGGGGTTTCTGCTGCTTCCAAAAGGGGGTTTTCGCTGCTTCCGAAGGGGGTTTCCGCTGCTACCGAAGGAGATTTCCGCTGCTGCCGAAGGGTTTATCTCTGCTGCCAAAGGGGGTTTCCGCTGCTTCCGGAGGAGGTTTCCGCTGCTTCCGAAGGGGATTTCTGCTGCTTCCGAAGGGAGCTTCCGCTGCTTCCGAAGGAGGTTTCCGCTGCTGCCGAGAGGGTTTTCCGCTGCTGCCGAGGAGTGTGTCTGCTGCTGCCGAAGGGTTTTCCTCTGCTGTCAAAGGGGGTTTCCGCTACTTCCGAAGCTGATTTCCGCTGCTTCCGAAGGGGGTTTCCGCTGCTTCCAAAGGGGGGTTTCCGCTGCTTCCGAGTAGTTTGTCCGCTGCTGCCGAGTAGTTTGTCCGCTGCTGCCGAGTAGTTTGTCCGCTTCTGCCGAGTAGTTTGTCCGCTGCTGCCGAGTAGTTTGTCCGCTGCTGCCGAGTAGTTTGTCCGCTGCTGCCGAGTAGTTTGTCCGCTGCTGCCGAGTAGTTTGTCCGCTGCTGCCGAGTAGTTTGTCCGCTGCTGCCGAGTAGTTTGTCCGCTGCTGCCGAGTATTTTGTCCGCTGCTGCCGAGGATTTTGTCTGCTGCTGCCGGGGAGTTTGTCTGCTGCTGCCGAGGAGTTTGTCTGCTGCTGCCGGGGAGTTTGTCCGCTGCTGAAGGAGTTTGTCCGCTGCTGAAGGAGTTTGTCCGCTGCTGAAGGAGTTTGTTGCCTTGTTGCCTTGTTGCCTCCGCGTCTGAAGGTCTGCAGCCTTGTTGCCTCCGCGTCTGAAGGTCTGCAGCCTTGTTGCCTCCGCGTCTGAAGGTCTGCAGCCTTGTTGCCTCCGCGTCTGAAGGTCTGCAGCCTTGTTGCCTCCGCGTCTGAAGGTCTGCAGCCTTGTTGCCTCCGCGTCTGAAGGTCTGCAGCCTTGTTGCCTCCGCGTCTGAAGGTCTGCAGCCTTGTTGCCTCCGCGTCTGAAGGTCTGCAGCCTTGTTGCCTCCGCGTCTGAAGGTCTGCAGCCTTGTTGCCTCCGCGTCTGAAGCTCCGCTACGACAAATCCGTTGTTCCTGAAAAGAAACGCAAATAATAGCACGAAGTTAGTGAACAGAAACCGAGAATTCGAGAACAGAAGAAAACGACGAATGCGAAAATGTATGGGGGTGGAACGTTCGTGACGCGTAGGCTGCAACCAGAAGAGGGAGGAGAAACTAAGCTACCCAAACCCAAAACCCGACCCGCGGAGGATCATCTCCTAATTGCAGCCCTTGCGTCAGAGGAACGGTGAAACGTCGAAAAACACAAATGGCGGATTGGCGAGATGCAATGAGTGCGAAACGAAACAACAAATAACAGAAAAGCAGTAAAAAGAACGAGGAAGGGAAGGGAACGACACTTCCATCTGTTGGAGTTGACGGAGAAGCAGTCGCGCGCGTCCCTTGTCAAATCGCCCGTAGCTCGCCACGCGGGAGAAGTGTTGAAGTCATAGGAGAAGGCTCGATTGAAGCCCCGCAGCGCAAGTCATGAAACCTGAAAAGCAGGTAGAAAACACGCACAAGAGCACGAAGTTCGTAAAGAGAACAGAAGATAAAAGACAAGAGAACAAAGACAAAACGAAATGCGAAACTGAAAATGAAAAACGAAGACAAACGAAATACAAAAACCGACAAGAAAGAACAGAACGAGGGTGGAACGTTCGTGACGCGTAGGCTGCAGCCAGAAGAGGGAGGAGAAACTAAGCTACCCAAACCCAAAACCCGACCCGCGGAGGATCATCTCCCAACTGCAGCCCTTGCGTCAGAGGAACGGTGAAACGTCGAAAACACAAATGGCGGAGTGGCGAGATGCAATGATGGCGAAACGAAACAACAATTAACAGAAAAGCGGTAAAAGGAACGAGGAAGGGAAGGGAACGACACTTCCATCTGTTGGAGTTGACGGAGAGGCAGTCGCACGCGTCCCTTGTCAAATCGCCCGTAGCACGCCACGCGGGTGGAGTGTTGAAGTCATAGGAGAAGGCTCGATTGAAGCCCCGCAAGCGCAAGTCATGAAACCTGAAAAGCAGGGAGAAAACACGCACAAGAGCACGAAGTTAGTAAAGAGAACAGAAGATAAAAGACAAGAGAAGAACAAAGACGAAACGAAATGCGAAACTGAAAATAAAAACGAAGACAAACGAAATCGAAAAACCGACAAGAAAGAACAGAACGAGGGTGGAACGTTCGTGACGCGTAGGCTGCAGCCAGAAGAGGGAGGAGAAACTATGCTACCCAAACCCAAAACTCGACCCGCGGAGGATCATCTCCCAACTGCAGCCCTTGCGTCAGAGGAACGGTGAAACGTTGGAAAACACAAATGGCGGATTGGCGGATTGCGAAACAACAAAGGAACAAGCGGTGAAAGGAGAGAGGAGGGAGGGAAGGGAACGACACTTCCCGATCAGTCGCGCCGAAGCAGTCGCGCGCGTCCTTTATCCGACGCCCGTCACACGCCACACGAGAGAAGCTATGCCTCCGCACGAAAGGGAGAACGGCAGAACGTTGAAGTGCTGAACGGTGATGGGAGCTCCAGCGAGTGTGGACTGGTTGATGCTTGTTTCACGGCTTCTTGAGCAAAACAAACGTTCTTGACTTGCACTTGATTGCCTGCAAAGGTTAAAACAACTTAGTTAGAAAAAACTCAGATCTGAAAAAGAAGTTGAAGCAAAACGACCGAAAATCAATAAGCTAGGGAAGGTAGCCAATGCTTACCTCTGGAGCTGAAGAGGTGGGCAGGGCGGAGGGCGGTTTGATGGCGGGTTGATAGCGGAGAGCTTTCACATTCGTTGACGTTGACTCAGGTCGTATCTCCAGCAAGCGTCAAGAAGGGCTAGTGTCATGACACCAACTCAGAAAACACATGGAGGACTATTCTTCCTGGTGTCAGCTAAACCAACCAATGTGATCGCGGGAATTCGTCCAATGTGCCCAACATTGACACCAGGCTGGAGACGCGCTCACACGCGGCTCCAATTGGCGTCAAGCGTTAACAACGCTTGACACCAAGCCCTTCTTGACACTTGCTGGAGATACGACCTCAACAATTGATTGATGCCAAACATGCCTCTCCATCATCTAGTTGCCAGACCTAGGCTTGTCAGGCTAACCGCTGGCAAACGAATGTGACATCCTCTCCTAACATTGCCAGCAGAAATTTCCCTCTTAACCCTTCATGTTTTTTAGGCCTCCTGAAGGCGTCTTTATACAGTTCCGGCCTAAAACACGCGTTTTTTTCTGCTGCTATTTGACCCTTTTCTTCCTTCGATTTGCATCTCTGTGATTATCTTCATTGGAATCGCATTTCGGTGATTTTCTTCCGCCAATGGACGATCCTCGAAGACGTCCCGCCGGCGCGCCGCCTTCCCGCGGCCCGGGTGGCCCTTCTCCCGTCCGCAATCGCGGGGGAAGCCCCATGACAAGTAATGCCTCTCGGCGCGGCCCGTCCAGCACTACTGGCGGCGGCGGCGGAGGCGGCGGGAGCTCAGCGGGCCGCGGGAGAGCGCGGCCGCTTAGGGGAACTTCCGGCACTTCCGCTCCCCCAGCGCAAAGGGGCGGGGGGGGACCTGGCGCAGCTCCGCCTGCTAAGTCCGCCGCCGCCGGCAGGGGCGCAAGGAGTGGGAAAGGCTTGCGCATGCGCCCGGCACGCCCGCGCGTGCAGTTGCGGAAGTACCCCGGATTAAAGCCCGCCATATCGAGCTACAGTAAGCTACGCGCACGCGCCACGGGTCAGCTCGTGGAGCCGAAAAAGCGCCTGCGGTTCAGCGATCACGTGGAGGTTGCCACGTGGGACGCTGACGTGGACGATAATCACGGCGCCAACTCAGCAGCAGCTGCTGCCTCAAGCTTACCCACCGGTAGCAAAAGGCTTTTTCTCCGGAATGTGTTTCTTGGCGCCGCGGAAAGTATCAACGACGCTGCGGAAAGTTTGTTCGGGCAGTCCAAAAGGGAGCTTCCTAAGGATCTGCCCACAGAGTTTGTCCGAGACGCTCCTAGATCGAAGGAGTTAAAGAAGGCTTACAAAAAGGAGATGCGCGCGCGGGGCGACAGTGATTATGCTAAGAAGGAACGCCGACCAAGGACCAAGAAGGACGGCGAAACGCGAGAGCGGAAGGCGGTCGCAGGCGGGCAGTCCGCAAATAAAGAAGCGGGCAGGGGAAAGCCCAGCGAGAGGTCCGTATTATCCAGCGGAGCGCAGTCTTTCGGGCAGCTTGAAACCAAGTCGGATCGGGCAGCACTGGAAAAGAATCTCATGCCAACTGGTAGCAAGAGCCTGAAAGTGGAAGGCGGAGGGGAAGCGGCGGGGGGCGCGGGAGGGGAGCTAGGAGGGGGGAAGGGAGGGAAATTGCTGTCTGGGAGCTTGATTCCTAGAGACCCGCGGACTGCAGCGGCTGCCGCTGCGGCAGTGGCGGCTGCGACGGCGGCAGCGGCGGCTGCGACTCCCGGTGCTGTTTCCGCCAGCGCAGCTGTTTCTGCTGGTGAGAGCGGCCTTGATGCGAAAGAGGGTGACACGGAGGGGATGGAGGAGAAAGTGAGGGAGGAGGGCGAGGGAGAAAAAGAGAGAGACAGCGACGACAGTAGTGTGAGCGATAGTAGTGATGATGATGACGACGACGACGACGAGGAGGAGGAGGAGCACGGGGTGTGGGTGGACGAGGATGTAGAGTCGTCCGAGGGAGAGGAAGACGAGGAATGGGGAGAAGAAGGCGTGGAGCAAGGCGCGCTGGATGCTGACGTGGCAGCTGCTGCTGGCAGCCACGTGGCAGCATGGGATGGCGTGGAGGTCAAGCGGTTGGGAGAGAAGGAAGCGGGGGAACGGGGAACGGGAGGGAAAGGGGACGAAGCTGCAAGTCCAGCAGTAAAGACAAGTGCTGTGAGTCAGGCGGAAGGCGGAACCCCCAGGCGCATGCGCAGTCCGTCCCCCATAGGGGCGCCGCTTGCCCCCCGCGGGGCGCAGCCCTCGCCGCAGATGGGCGCAACTGCAGTCGGAGTGGAGGCGTTGACTCTGGCAGATAACGACAAAAAGCAGGTACGGATGGGGCGGGGATGAACTGTGGTGGCCTTTCGAGGCGCCTTCGCAGGCGGATGGGATGGGCGCAAGTGCAGTCGGAGTGCATTGATCCTGGAAGATTCGCTGCCAGATAACGACAAAAAGCAGGTGCAGTGTGGGAAGGTAAAGGGAATGGGCGCAACTGCAGTCGGAATGGAGGCGTTGACTCTGAAAGACTCGCTGCCAGATGACGACAAAAAACAGGTACGGATTGGGGGCGATAACGATAAGGAGCAGGTATGGAGAAGGGGTGGTGAGGAGGAAAAGAGGGGGGATCTTGTACGTACATACATGCATGTGAAGGAAGGGGGGCGGTTGGGAAGACTTCTGAAACGTGAAAAGAGGTGTGATGAGGAAAAAAAAGAAAAAAAAAAAAACACCTTGATTGATTGGTTGGTGTGACAAGGAAGGCCTTCTTTACTTGTCATCGAAATGCAAGCAAAGGCAAACCCCCATCGTCCTAGCACCACACCATACATGAGAGCGAGGGTACGGTTTTCGCCCTTGTTGCCCTTGAAATGAGAGCCATGGCATGGCGTCAGTCAGTAACAACAGTGCATCCTCCTTGCATGCTGCTGCATTATCACGCAATTGTAATGCTGCACTCATCAAATCTCGAATTATACTATTGCATTGAACATGATATCGCATTTCTTATAACTCCTCCTCTCCTCTCCTCTCCTCTCCTCTCCTCTTCTCTCTTCGTCTTGTCTATCGCCTTCCTTTCAGACCGGCGCCCCCCAAACGAACCAATCAGTCGCCCGTAACGAATTCAAACCCCTCGCGGTTACCGCCGCCTCTCACCAATCTTGGGGGTCAGCCAAGCAGCCTGGCAGCCGGCGATCCACCTCAGTGCAACTGAACATGAGCGATAGCGATCTCTACGCACATTCTACTGATGATGCTGATGACTATGGGTTGCCTGTGCACGGTGGGGGGAGGGGGAACGAGTTTTCTATGGTGAGCCCTATGCGGCAGCATCAGCAGCAGCATCAGGACGCGGAGCATCGAGCTGACCGGTTCGGGCCTTTATCTGCCCGGGGCACGCGGCCAAAAACTTTTTCGGATGACGAGTGGCTTGGGGAGGGGGGTGGAGGAAGGGGGGAGCGGGGTGGCACGGAGGAAGGTGGGGAGAACATGAGGGGGGGCGGGGGAGGGCGGGGCAGAGGGGGAGGGGCTGGGGAATGGGATTGGGGAGGAGGAGGGGGAGGAGGAGGAACGGCAGAAACTGGCCGAAGGGCTTCGACAGGTGCAGTGGGACCTGCGGGGAGAGGAGCAGGGAGAGGGGGACCAAGTAGGGACGGGCCGGACGTGTTTGGTTCGGGCTCCAAGTCTATGCGAACGCCAGGCAAGGACGTTGGAGGTCCGGCTGCCGGACCTAAATCGCAGGTTCGGCGGCCGTCGCCCGTTCACTATGCAGATGATATGGATTTGCCACGTGGGGGGCAAGGGGGTGGGGGAGGGGGGCGAGGGGGCGGGGGAGGGGGGGAACAGTACCACCCCCAAACAGACACCTTTGGGCCTATGTCTGTTAGAGGACAGAGACCGAAATCTATGTCTGAGGATGATTGGAACGATCAGAGTTACATGAGGGATGGGAGGGAGAGAGGAGGTGGGGACGGGAGAGGGAGGGGCGGAGGAATGGGGGACAGCAGGGGAGGGGGAGGGGGAGGGGGAGGGGGAATGGGGGGGCCAAGGCGGATGGGGGAGAGGCCGGGGGGGCAAGATGGGGGTGGGGTTGTGAGGAGACCTGCTGGTGGTGCTGGCGCTGGTGGTGCTGGCGCTGGTGGTGCTGGCGCTGGTGGTTATGATGGTGGTGTTGGTTACGGTGGTGGGGGAGGGGGTTACGGTGGTGGTGGGGGGGGGTGTTACAGTGGTGATGGTGGTTACAGTGGTGGAAGGGAGGGGTATGGTGGTGGAAGAGAGGGGTACGGTGGTGGAAGGGAGGGGCACGGAGGTGGAAGGGAGGGGTACGGAGGTGGAAGGGAGGGGTACGGAGGTGGAAGGGAGGGGTACGGAGGTGGAAGGGAGGGGTACGGAGGTGGAAGGGAGGGGTACGGAGGTGGAAGGGAGGGGTACGGTGGTGGAAGGGAGGGGTACGGAGGTGGAAGGGAGGGGTACGGTGGCGGAAGGGAGGGGTACGGTGGTGGAAGGGAGGGGTACGGAGGTGGAAGGGAGGGGTACGGTGGTGGAAGGGAGGGGTACGGAGGTGGAAGGGAGGGGTACGGAGGTGGAAGGGAGGGGCACGGTGGTGGAAGGGAGGGGTACGGTGGTGGTGGTGGGGGTTACGGTGGTGGGGGTGGTTACAGTGGTGGTGGGGGGGGAGGCATGCCCAGCCGCCCAGGAGGAGGAGGGGGGCAGGGTGGGGGAGCAGGGGGGGCGCGGAAGCCGCTGGATTGGAAGCAGCAGATGCAGCAAGCGAGCAAGGAGCAACAGAAGGACCGCATTTTCAGGATGCTGGCTGATGGCTCGCAGGACAAGAGCCGTGGCGGGTATGGGAAGAGATAGCAGAGCGGATGTGACTAGACAGAGGATGGTGCTGCTGGGTGGGTAGTGGTTTGCTGGAGGCACTGAAGGTTTGGTGGTGCAAGGAGCAACAGAAGGACCACATTTTTAGGATGCTGGCTGATGGCTCTCAGGACAAGAGGCATGGCGGGTATGGGAAGAGATAGGGCTGATGGGCTGGCAAGCTCTTGAGATGTCTCAAACGAGCAAGGAGAACCAGAAGAAGAGCTGCATATTCTTGATGCTGGCTGGTGGCTCGCAGGACAAGAGGCATGGCAGGTATGGGAAGAGAGGGTAGGGTTGATGCAACTAGATTGAAGGCCAGCACTGATGAGTTGGGAAGGGGTTGTTGAAAGGTTGGTGGTGCGAGGTTGTTGGAAACTGATTGGTTTTTGCGGTGCCTCATAGATCAGCTATGGGATTCTGCGTCCCAGTCTTGATGTTTTGCGATTTTCTGTTTGTTTTTTCTCTATGTTTTGATCAATGGTGCACAGTGCACTATTTGGATGAGTGGCAAGGCATAAGCTACTATTTGGATGAGTGGCAAGTCATGCACCAGTGTAACACCATACACAAGAATACACGAGCTCTTTACACCAAAAGGCCAAATTAACAACAAATGCAGCACTGAAGTACACAAATGAGAAAGCAATCTATCCCAACAGAGTATCCTGTCCAGGATAAATGTAAGTGTAGCACATAGCCAAGCAACTCATTGTCCTATATTACCCGTTGCTACCACCACCCTATATCCCACCCGTATCGCACGGGTAGTTGAACAAGTCCTTCCCACACGCCCCGGGTAGGACCGACAGCCCATTCATGCAATACCCCGTGCTCGGATTTAAATTCGTAGGAAGAAAGAACCTATAATCGTCTACACCCACGGCGTTGTACTGTACAGCGGGGCTGTCATCAGAGAGGTATTCGGTCCCCCAGATGCCCGAGCACAGATCCATGTTTTCGTTTCCGTTATCGTCGGACCAGCTGTTTAGGTTCGGGTTGACCGCAGCCTCGGAAAGCACGTGCGCGAAGTTGGAAATCAGCCCGTCGAGAATTCGGTCACCGTTGGGGTATTCGAGGCCTGCTGCTGCTGAGTGCGTGCACTTGGCAAGAAACTGCAAGACAGGGAGGGGGGCCGAGGAAGAGGTGTAAAAAAGGGGTGGGAGGACACGTAAGGCAAGGAGATGTGTGCTGACAAGGTTTCTCTCGCCGTTGGGGTAGTCGAGGCCTGCTGCCGCTGAGTGCTTGCACTTGGCGAGAAACTGCGAGTGTGGGAAGAGGGGAGGGGAAGAGGACAAGGAAGGCGAGACGGCGATGAGAGCTGGTAATGATTCGGTCGGGCGTAGCGTTGGAGTACTGAAGACCTGCTGCTGAACAGACATTGGGTAACAAAAGTGAAAAGTGAACGCCTGAGCAGACATTGGGATCTCACTCACCCTTTCCAACACACCAAGCACACACTCGCTTAGGCATGCCGATCCATGACCGATTCACAATGCCGCTGCACTGTGAAACTAGGCGTATTGTATAAACCTGAATGTGAAACTTTGTGAAGTGTCAAGTCTAACCTTTTCCGGCTTGCCGACCCATGCCCACTTAATACTGCAGCTGATGTTGTGGAACGCACAGAAGTGGGTTGTTGCGAGTGTGCAGCAAGCATAGAGAGTGAACGGACACACCCACCCTCTCACCTCACACCGACCACTCACCTTTTCCGGCATGCCGACCCATGCCCACTTGACACTGCCACTCACGCTCTCGTTCTCGAGCTCAAAGAGCACTCACTTTCTCAGGCATGCCGACCCACGCCCACTTGACATTGCCGCTGGCGCTGTGGAAGGCACAGAAGTCAGTTGCTGAAGCATGTTGAGTTGATGCACTCACCTGACCAGACTAGAGGATTTCACTACCTTCTCACGCTCAAAGAGCACTCACTTTCTCGGGCATGCCAACCCACGCCCACTTCACGTTCCCGCTGACGCTGTGGAAAGCACAGAAGTCAGACCCAAACCCGTCCACATCCACGTCAGCAGAGGTGAAGATGACGTAGACGGCGCTGCTGATTCGCGGCAGCGATCCTGACAGGATCTGGAAGTTGATGAGCGCGAGCAGGTCGGCCTTCTTCAACGGTGTCTGGCCTGAGGCTGATGAAGCGGCTGCAATGTCAATCTCTGTGTTCTGATGGGGGTGAAGGGGAAGGGGGGAGAAGGGGGTGGTTTTGATGATCCCGAGAGGAGCTGGAAGTTGATGAGCGCGAGCAGGTCTGCCTTCTTCAACGGGGTTTGCCCCGAGGCTGACGACGCAGCTGCAATGTCAATCTCCGTGTTCTGATGGGGGAGAGAGCAGGATGAGGGTCAGATGGGGAAAGAAGAAGATAGAAGGGGAGGAAAGTGGAAGTTGTAGACGGCAACCGGGTCGGCCTTTTTAAGAGGAGTCTGGCCCGAGGCTGATGATGCAGCTTCCACGTCAATCTCTGTTTTCCAATGGGGGAGGAAGGGGATGGGAAATGGGGGAGGGAAGGGAGGAGGGAAGGGAATGGCTTTGATGATCCCGAGAGGATCTGGAAGTTGATGAGGGCGAGCAGGCCGGCTTTCTTCAGTGGTGCCTCGCCCGCCCGAGGCTGACGAAGCGGCTGATCGATCTCCGTGTTCTGATACAGCAGTGAGGGTCAGATGCGGGAGAAGGAGATGAGGGGGAAGAGGATGTGGAAGCTGATTAGCGCGAGCAGGTCAGTCGGCTTTCTTCAGTGGTGCCTCGCCCAAGGCTGACGAAGCGGCTGCGATATCAATCTCCGTGTTCTGATGGGGGAGAGAGGGGGAGAAGGGGTGGAAGAAGTGGGGGAGTGGTGAGGGGTTGGAAGGACGGAGGGCGTTTGCGCTGGTGCATAATCCAGCGAGGATCTGGAAGTTGATGGGAGCGAGCAAAGGCGAGGGGGCGTACACTGTGGGAAATCCTAAGAGGGGACGGACGCTGCGGGATGCCCTAAGGAGGGAGGGGACGTACACGCTGCAGGAAACCCTAGGAGGGAGGGGAGGGGAGACGTACACTGCGGGAGACGGTGGGCGTGACGTAGGTGGCGCCGGCCTTGTAGAGGCGGTTGATGTTCCACCAATCCCTGACGCTGCCGGGCTTGTTGGCCAGCGTGTCGTCGGAAATGGAATCCACGAATTTCTGCACGGGCGTCTTCTGCGACGCGGGCCACGTGCCGTGCCAGATGAGGTACACTTCCAAGGGTTGCGACATCACCGGGCCGCTTTTATATGAGACGGTCTTGGGCGCGTAGCTGGGGACTGGCAGGGGGGGGGGGAGGGGGGAGGATTGGGGGGAGGGGGGAGGATTGGGGGGAGGGGGCAGCCGGGGCTGGGGAAAACAGGGTGTGAGTGAATGAGGGGAGCAGCGCATGCCATGGCAGATGAGGTAGACTTGTAGTGGTTGCGACATCAAGGGACCGCTCTTGTAGGGGGGGGGGAGGAAGAGGGAAAGGGGGGAAAGGAAGGGGGAAAGGGGGGGGAAAGGGGGGGGAAAGGAAGGGGGAAAGGAAGGGGAAAGGAAGGGGAAAAGAGTTCAAACTTCCCACTCACTACTTGTTACCAGCTCCCACTCACCCCAGCCACCTCGTCCGCTGTACAGTTTCATGAACCCTACCTTTGCAAAGTCTCAAACTCCCCGGCATCCCTCGGCACCACACCCCACCCACGTCATGTATTGAGGAGGCTTTTGAGGCGCTGCAAAAACCACCCTAGCACCACACCCCACCCACCTCGACCGCTGTACGGCTTCGTGAGCCCGAGAGTAAACCCGCCAGTTCCCTTCTTTGATGAGCCATCTGTCCTTCTGAGTGCACTCCCGCTCACTCCCGCTCACCGCTTTCTACCGCTCTCAACTCCCACCCACCCACCTCGACCGCTGTAGGGTTTCATCAGTCCGCGAGAAGAGCCGCCTGTAGACTTCTTTAATGACCCGCCTGACCTATTCTGTGCAAAGTCACTCCTGCTCACTGCTTGCCACCACCTCCCACCCACCTCGGCCGCTCTACGGCTTCATAAGTCCGCGAGAAGACCTGACCCGCCGCCCCCCATCACCACCCGGGCGGCGCCCTTCCAAGTCAGTGCACTCAATAGTCACTCCTGCTCACAGCTTGCTACCACCCCCCACCCACCTCGGCCGCTGTATGGCTTCATGAGTCCGCGAGAAGACCCGCCTGTAGACTTCTTTGATGACCCGCCTGACCCGCCGCCGCCCCACCACCACCACCGGGGGAACCCCGTGCCGATGGTGATGCGGATAGGCGGATCCGTGCTGCCTCCGCTGCCCGTGCTGCTCGTACGAGATCCGCCGCTCGTGCTCGTGCTCGTGCTGCTGGTGCTGCTGCTGCTGCTGGTGCTGGTGGCGCGAAGATTGGTGGTGTCTTTGGTGTTGGTGCTGGTGCTGGCAGTGCGGGCGTTAATTGGACCTTCGCTGCTGGTGCTTGCAGGGTCGAACGCAGCAGCAGCGACAGTGGCATGAGAGGGCTGCGAACCTGGGGATTGACGAGGGCGGAAAGGAGACCGGGGGAAGGATGAGATGAATACTAAGAGTACCTTCGCTGCTGGTGTTGGTAGGTTCGAACGCAGCAGCAGCAACAGTGGCATGAGAGGGTCGACACCTGGGGATTGACGAGGGCGGAAGGGAGACAGGGGAGAGGGCGGAAGGGAGACAGGGGAGAGGGCGGAAGGGAGACAGGGGAGAGGGCGGAAGGGAGACAGGGGAGAGGGCGGAAGGGAGACAGGGGAGAGGGCGGAAGGGAGACCGGGGAGAGGGCGGAAGGGAGACAGGGGTGAAGGGCGGATACTCAGAATACCTTCGCTGCTGGTGCTGGTATGTTCGGAAGCAGCAGCAACAACAGCCGCATGAGAGGACGGAACACCCGGGGATTGACGACGGCGGAAGGGACACAGGGAGGGGGGGAGGGGAGGGGAAGGGAGGAAACGGGTAAGGGCGAAAGGCGGGAAGGGAGGAAGGGGGCATGGAAGAAACGGCGGAAGGCAGGAATGGCGGAGTGAGGAGGAGGGGAGGAGAGGGGGGTGTGAAGCGGGGGAGAGGAACGAGAGGGAGGAGCGGGGAAAGGGATGGTAGGAGGAGCAAGCGTGAGCGAAGGGATGCAGGCGCAACGATGGGGACTGAGATTGACTGGGGGAGCGAGGCCTGGACACGAGGAGGGACGAACTCGGGGGAGAAAGCATCAACGGTCGCGATGCAAGGATTGTTGAAAGGGGGTCAGCAGCAACGGTTGCGATGCAAGAAGATGCGGAAGCGGACGCAAAGGTACACCTCGAAAGGAGCAACGCTTTTCGAGGCGCCTCAAGGATTAACGCTTCCTACGACGGCTCGTTGCTCAAGGAGTTACCAAGGCGCCTCAATAACGGTATGCCGCGGATGGAAAAACGCTTTCCAAGGCGCCTTGAAAAGGTACACCGCGAAATAGAGAAAAACGCTTTCCGAGGCGCAACAATTCTGCTACATGATGTTTCGAATGAAGCACTAAAACAGGTAGACCGCGAAAGGCGAAACGCGGATACCCACCGTGCTCACTACTAAAATAGACGCCGAGTCGCTCCAACGCCGCTTTACCCTCTGCACGTGTACGAAGGATGACATGAAGGAGAGGGAACAAGGGAGACACGCGGGTGGATACGGTGGATACGACGCGGGGAAGGAGAGGAGACGATGTAACAATGTAACCAGTGTAGAAGAGACGAGAAGGAGCGAGCTTGTAACTTGTCACGAGAGAGGGGAACCTGCTTCTAATTCTGCGGACGCTATGAACTCCGTTTCTAAAAGTTCTGAAAGCTTCTAGAAGTTTCTAGAAGGTATTAGAAGGCTCTTCTGCCAACCGACCCAGGATGACCTGTTGCTCCGAGCATTACTGTGGTTTTCAAGAATGGAGGCAAGAAGCGTTTTAAACGGAAACGCTTGGCCAGGCCTTCCCGTGCTTAGTCGAGATAAGCCTGTGCAGCGTGCTCTAACGGAGCGTCAGTGGAATCATAACAACGGAATTCTTCTCACGCAGTTAGGCTAAAAATCATATTCAAGAAAAAGTTCAGCTTGTCATAGTGGGTAGTGTTGGTAGTGTCGGCGAAGCCTATCCACCCAAATCTTGGAAAAGGGAGTCGCGGTTAGTCTACCTTCAAGGCGCGCCGCTTCCCGTGGTGTTAAGCGCGACTCCACTCGCTGCGCGAATGGTGCAGCTGCAAGCGCCAGGAATAACAGTAGTAACGCTATTCGTCGGTGAGACATGGCGGTCCGTCTACACCTCTGTCTACAGTGTACACAAAATATTGGAAACGTTCTTCGACGTTCTAGTTAGCTAGCTTTCGCTGCTGGTAGACTATGGTTTGTAGTACCTGTAGAAGAACGTAGTTAGGGTTACAACCGCTTGAAGTGACACTAGAGACAACGCAGCCAATTCTACTTGTTTGAGCAGGTCGGTTCGGCTCATTCCTCCCCTTTATCGTCCATCTGCTGATCGAGGAGACGCAAGCAAGTGGTGAACGACGGAAGCCATGACCGTGACGTGTTTTCCTGAGCCAGACAAAAATGGTGGTGGTGGTGGCGACTGTGCTGACCTAACTGCACTTGATCATTCAAACACGCGGTTTATGCAAGATAAGGTGGAGTACGTTCTGGTAATTTTGAAGTGCGATCGGGTAGGGTGAAGACCTCTCTCGTCTTCAGGAAGGACAGGCCCTCTCGCTCTTGTTTGGGTGGCCGAGGGGCTGTGTAGGTTTGGGTTGTCGAATACTGTAACCTCTTCTCCGATATTTCCACACCCTTTATCTTACTGGCAAAACTGCTCTGACGACCGAATTCCGCTGGGGTGTTCGGTTGTCGAATACTGTAACCTCTTCTCCGATATTTCCACACCCTTTATCTTCACGACCTGGGGCACCTACCCTCGAAAAAACCGATTTCGAAGGTGGTTCGCAACGCTCGAAGAATTTTCAGGGTGAATGTAACACAATCTCAATGCGAGCTGAACGCAGGAACAATCTGGCACTGGAATTTTCCCCGCTCACTCGAACTACAAAGTTCGAGTCTCGAAAGGCCTTGACCTGGCGGTTATTTCCTGATAGACCCACAATGTCAGGGCGTCCGTCTCATAAAACCTTCAACCATGTAGGGTGTCTGGGAAGAATCAAAGTTCAGGGTGTGGAAATATCGGAGAACAGGTTGTAGTATCGATGTCTCAATTTCCTCTGATCTGAAAGCTCAGAACAAACGGGCGCTTTTTTGACTTATGGAAGTTTCATTTCAACATTTGCTGCTACTGTAGCCCAGCTTCTTGTGCGACGGATTCATTTGAATCGTCGTCGCTATTGCCAGCATGCCGGAGGCAGGGCAGTGTGGTGTGGAGCAGTGTACACTGGCTGTGTGACACTCCACTGTGCTATGCGTGGAAAACCGCTTGGCACTGTTTGGTGGATGGAGAACCGAACGACTCGGCTCGACGTGAGAGTACGACTTGGCTTGGTGCCGGTGCTGTTAATGGAAAACCTGATATGACTTATAAGTGGTCTAAGACTACTTCCAGTGCTTCTTTTTGTGTTTATATCCTCATGTATGCTGCTTCGTCATGTACCTTATCTGGTCAACAGAGTATTGTACAAGCATCCACTGAAAATATACTCGCATAGACGTATTGAATTGATTTGTATTTATTCGAGTGTATAAAATTCAAATGGTAGTGCTTTGGGTATATTACAATACCATCGGGTAACAGCGAATTTACTATTACCCCCTTAGTGCATGTTTCCTTCGAAATGACAACGAAATTATTATAAATTATGCCGTTTTTCTTTTTATTGCATTAGCAGGGCGTGAGACGTATACGGTTATCGAAGAATTGAGTCAGTCTCATCAGGTACGGGTCGCGTTTGTCAGTACTGTGTAACCAGCTCGTAACTGGCACAGACACAAAGGAGTATACGAGCTACCTGCGACTCCAGATTTACCTGTGAATTTGGCTGGTTATCCATCTGCAGGACCCCACTCGCCCCACCTGGCCTCAACAAATCCCCACAAGTTCCATCGCTCACCAGGAAAATCGTTTCGCCACTTCGAATACTGCTGCCTGTCACAACCCTGTATGGTGTTGGCCTATCACACCGAGGCTTCTGAGCATCACCTGCCATTTGTTTCGAGACGTCACGACGCGGACCACATTCATGTTCGCGCCGAAAGAACCACACACACAGCAGATGTCTGAGTGTAACGGGGCAGTTTCTATGTAAATCAAGAATTTTGCTCTTCCTGCCCAGTCACCACAACACGCCCTACCTGACCTGGGTGGTCCCCACTCAGTGGAGTCGAAACAGACGTTTATCACACTCACCAAAACACGTCTTTTCCAAACCGTGGTCCGTGTGTGGGATTAGGAGTCACACACTTTCTATGGGCTCGCTTCCACTACACTTTGGGGTGTGACTTCGGGAAATAAACACCACACACAATCTTGGGAAGCCTGAAGTGCAGCGCGCTGTACATGCTTCCCTGATATGAACCCTGGTCGTTGTTTGGCTCAACCTTCTCCATCAGCCTCCAGCCACCCACCCACCTGCACGACCAAACACCATTCCCTCCTCTCACCCAGCTCGTCATCATTGTCAAGCCTCCCTAACCCAGTTCAGTCACGCCAAGAGATCAGACTGAACGAGAGCCAAGTAACAAGTAGCAAGCTGCGTAGAACCAGCAACTAGAGTAACTAGAACCATCTGCGCGCGTGTTAGAAGACTTAGTCAAGGCACAATGGCTCGTCGACGACCTGTGATTCTCCTCGCACTGGTGGCTCTGGTCATCACTTTCACCCTCCTCGGACAAGCCGAATCGGGATCGTTGCTAGGTAATGAACGAGCGACGTGTGGTTGTGGTGCCCTAGAGCCTCAAAACTCGGTCGTTTTATCGATACATCTGGCTGGCAAGAGCGTTCGAACATTTGTACCGCGCTGAGAAATTCCACACGCCATTGGTCCTGTGCTCTCTACGCTATGGCTCTAGAGTGCACGCATGACCTATCATTTCCCACGCTGTGTCTATAATTATCCCATCCGTGGGTCATTGCTCTCTTAGCTCCAGCATCTCCGCTCGTCACGCATCTTTTGTTCGTCCTGAACTCTTTTACTTAAATTTCCTATGCACACATCTCTCGCCTTTACGTTGATGCCTTTGGCCCATCTGTCAATATCCGACTCATTTACCCCTTCTCTCGCATTCCTCGTGGGGATTTTGCGTGTGTTCCCCCGCGTGTTCCCCGCGTGCTTTCCCGTGTTTCCCCCGCGTGTTCCCCGCGCCCCTTTCCCCCCTCATTTTGCAGTGAAAGGCAAGAAGGGCGGCAAAAAGGGCGGCAAGAAGGGCGGAAATGTGGAAACGGAGAGCGTGTCCCCGAAGGTGTCTACCAGCGGCGTAGCTTCCACCTCCGGTACCTCCAGCACAGCTCCCGGCGTTCGCGTGCGCATCACCATCGGCGGAAGCAACGGCGGCGGGAGCGGCAGCGGCAGTGGCAGTGGCGGCGGAGGCGGCAGGGGCGGCGGCGTGCGGTCGCGGTCTACGGGTTCGGGGAGGAATGGAGGGTTCATGCGGACGTATACCGGCAGGAGTGAGTCAACCTGCCTCCTCGCTCTGGCTCTTGCCTGCTCGCTTGCTTGTTTCCTTCTAACTTTTTTTCTGCGAACTTGCTGCTGTAACCTCCGATTCGGCTCAAAAGTCATGTTTTCCTTTTTGCTCCCCGCTCTCCCATGCATCCCCGTTCCCTCTTCCCCGTTGTAGTCCCTAGCTATGCCGCCAAGTCCGTTTCGTACAAGAGCGGCCCTGTGATGTCGCAACCGCTCGAGGTGTACCTCATCTGGCACGGCACGTGGCCGGCGTCGCAGAAGACGCCCGTGCAGAAGTTTGTCGACTCCATTTCCGACGACACGCTGGCTAACAAGCCCGGCAGCGTCAGGGATTGGTGGAACGTCAACCGCCTCTACAAGGCCGGCGCCACCTACGTCACGCCCACCGTCTCCCGCAGTGTATGTCGCCTATTTGGGGTTTCCGCAATTTTATTCCTCACGTTTTCATGTTCTAAATTCAGACAACTGTTTTTGCCGACATGTATTTTTACATTACCAGATTCTCATATTTTGTAACATCTTGTTGTAAACAGAACACGGAGATCGATATCGCAGCCGCTTCGTCAGCCTCGGGTCAGAAACCACTCAAGAAGGCCGAGCTGTTGGCTCTTATCAACTTCCAGATTCTGTCGGGATCGCTGCCGAGAATCAGCAGCGCCGTCTACGTCATCCTTACTTCAGCTGAGGTGGATGTCGACGGATTTGGCAGCGACTTCTGTGCATTCCACGATTACAGCGGGAGCATCAAGTGGATGTGGGTTGGCATGCCTGAGAGGGTGAGTGAACATAACTTTCTAGCTGAAAAAAACCGTTTTACAATTCTTGATAGCCTTCCAATCATAAGATACTGGCTTTACGTGTCGCTCCGTATTAATATTTTTTCCCTTGCTGTAATTTTTTCCCTCGCCTTCTTCCAGTACCTGTCGAGGTGTGCGCATGCAGCGGCAGCAGGCCTCGAGTACCCCAACGGCGACAGAGTTCTCGACGGGCTGATTTCCAACTTTGCCCACGTGCTTTCCGAGACGGTGGTTAACCCTAACCTCAACAGCTGGTCCGATGAAAACGGAAACGAAAACATGGATCTGTGCCAGGACATCTGGGGCACCGAATACCTCACTGACGACAGCCCCGCTGTACAGTACAACGCTGTGGGTGTAGACGACTACAAATTCTTCCTCCCTACGAATCTCAACCCCAGCACCGGTTTCTGCATGAATGGGCTGTCCGTGCTCCCTGGTGTGTGCGGGAAGGAGCTCTTCAACTACCCGTGCGACGCTGGTGGCCTGTAGGTGGACTGCGTCTAACGTTTCATCGGAACAGACCACCATATGTACTGTATCAGCTTGGATGGGAGGGATGGGCATCGTGGGCACCAAGGCTGGTGTCATTAATGGTGATGGTGGGCTCCCTAGAATCTCCTATGTTCCCATTTCGTTTAATTATGTAATGTATGATACCGCTGGGTGCGAATGATCTGCATGACAATTGTTTTGTTCTTGCCTTCAACCCTTGACTATGCTCGTATCATTTTTATCAATAAGGGTTTGGTGACTGTATTCCTCTGCTCCCCACTGGTTGATCCTGAATATTGGTGAGTAGTTTACTAGGACTTGTCCAGTTCTATTGTGCAATTGTCTGTGCGACATACAAAGGCAATCTACGCGCACAACGATGTGCCATTCTTATTTAGAGAACAGACGATGTGTCCCACATTGAGCACCTTACTTCATGGATCAGCATGTACGCACCTAAAAAATCACCCTCTACACTCACTGAAAGCTTTCTAACATCATCATCGAGTATTAACCATGACAGTTCACTAAAACCTGTGGAACACGAAACCGTCACTACAAAAACTGAGAACTACCCTAGCACCCTCACTGCGAGAATCTCCAAAGCGCCCCCTGGAAAATCCCATCCTGGCCCTGGATTTCTCCCTGCTGCACCAGACCCTCCTGGCTCTCCTCCCTTCCCTTCTTGAAAAACCGTTGCTAATCTCATTTGAAAAACTGTGAGAATTTCCCAAGGGCCCCTTGGAATATTCCAATCTGACCCTGGTTTTCACCCTGCTGCACCAAACCCTCCTCCTGGCTCTCTCCCCTTCCTTCTTGCCCACCCTTAACACACTCAAACCGCTGCTAACCTCACTTGAAAAACTGTGAGAATTTCCCAAGGGCACCTTGGAATATCCCACTCTGGCCCTGATTTTCTCCCTGCTGCAGCAATTCAGCCTGACCCTCCCACCTTGCCTTCTCCCCCAACGCAGCAGAGGCAGTGGTACTAGTGGTTGCAGAGGGGTCCTTTGGAATTTCGTTGCTTCCTCCCCATTTGCCCGGCTGCCCAACTGTGTGAGAGCGTGTAACACTAGCCAGGGAAACCTGGTTACCAGCAGCAGCAGCAGCGGCGGCAGCAGCAGGACCAGTTTCAGCAAAGGGAGCCATGACCGTGTTACCAGAGACAGTGTAACCAGCGATTCTGTACTCGATAGGAGCAGCTCCGATAACAGGAGCAGCAGCAGCGCGGAGTTCTGGCGATGGATTGTCGGAGGAATGTGAGCGAGCGACAGAGGGGCGAAGCGGAGAGTGCAGTGGGCGAACCTTGAAACTCCCACCAGCCGCACCAGCAGTAGCAACACCAGCAGCAGCAGCAGCTGTAGCAGCGCCAGCAGCGGCGAAGAGCGGATCAAGCTTCAAGGTGGGAGGCGGGGAGGAGGCGAGGGGGGAAGGAGCGTTGAACGAGGGCGTGGCAAAGGAGGGGAGGTGGTGCAGGGGAGAATTGTCTGGCGTGCGCTGGGCTGCAGGATGGGGAGGGAGGGAGGGAGGGAGGGAGGGAGGGAGGGAGGGAGGGAGGGAGGGAGGGAGGGAGGGAGGGAGGGAGGGAGGGAGGGAGGGAGGGAGGGAGGGAGGGAGGGAGGGAGGGAGGGAGGGAGGGAGGGAGGGAGGGAGGGAGGGAGGGAGGGAGGGAGGGAGGGAGGGAGGGAGGGAGGGAGGGAGGGGTGGAACAGGATTGGGAAATTTGGGAAATGGATAGGAGCGGGTGGGAGTGGGGAAGGAGGGCAGGCGGGGCAGGGGGGAGTTGTCCGACGTGCAATGAGCTGCAGGGGTGAGGTGAGACGGAGGGGTGGAACAGGATTGGGAAATTTGGGAAGTGGATAGGAGCAAGTGGGAGTGGGGAAGGAGGGCAGGCGGTGCAGGGGGAGTTGTCCGGCGTGCGGTGAGCTGCAGGACGGGGAGGTCTTGACTGGGTCAGGCGCCTCTGTAACACGGGGTGTCTTTTGAGAAAAATCACCTCCTTTTGAGTTGACTTAAAAGGTCTTGACTGCGTCATCAGGAGCAGCAGTGGCACAACTGTAACACGGGAGCCCTGAGCCCTTCACAGTAGAATATCTGTGCCTTGTAGCATCGGCCGGCTTTAACCGTATCATGCAGCAGCAGCAGCACCTCTGGATCATTCTCATGCAGCCGATAACATACCTCTGAACCCCATAACCCCTTATCACTCACGGTAGAATATCTGAGCCTTGTAGCGCCGACCCGCCTTGACCGTGTCGTGCGGCAGCAGCAGCACCTCTGGATCGTTCTCATGCAGCCGCAGGGACCTCTTGGTGACACTGTTGCTGCTGCTGCTGCTGTTGCTGCTGCTGTTGCTGCTGCTGTTGCTGTTGCTGTTGCTGTTGCTGTTGCTGTTGCTGTTGCTGTTGCTATTGCTTTGAGATTTGCTGCCATCAGCAGAAGCACCAGTGGTCGCACCGGCATCACCGAGAGCACCAGCAGACGCAGCAGTTGACGCAGCACCACCACCGGCAGCACTGGCAGCACCACCAGCACCATCACCACCATCGGCAGCACCACCACCCTCTGTGCTATTGCCGCCCGCAGCAGGGAGCAGGACGAGCTTTGCCAGCCGGCCGCAGTGGTCCGACAGCTTGCGATGCACCTCCCTGAGAGTCAACCCTGCCTCCACGTCCCGCGTGCTGCCGTCTGGGAGCTCTATGGTGGCGGTTGAGAGCGGTGGAGTGGGGTCTTGAGACAGAGCCGCTGTGCCTTGAGGCACCCCTGCCAGCATCGAGGCTAGCGGTCCTGCAAAGAAGAAAGGGCAAGGGACGGGAGAGAAAGGGAAGGGCGGGGGGATATGGAAGGTCTGACAGCTTGCGGTGCAGCGCGAGTCACCCCTGCGAGCATCGAGGCAAGCGGCCCTGGAGAAGGGGCAATGGAGGGGAAGGAGGGGCGAGAAAGAGACAGAAGGGGGATATGGAGCGAGACACAACTTGCTGCCGCAGTGGTCCGACAGCTTGCGATGCACCTCCCTGAGAGTCAACCCGCCTCCACGTCCCGCGTGCTGCCGTCTGGGAGCTCTATGGTGGCTGCAGTGGGTGCTGCTGCTGTGTCTTGTAGCCAACCTAAGGCTGTGCAGCAATTGCGAAGAAAAGCTTGCGAAATAAAGCCAACAGCGAGTGAGCTTGTGAAGGGGTCGTTCCTGCCAGCATCGAGGCAAGCGGTCCTGGAGAGGGGGCAAGGGAGGGGAAAGAGCAGCAACGGCAGAGAGTGGGGATATTGAATGTGAGACAGCATGCGGCAGCAGTGGTCTGACAGCTAGGGGTCTGGCATACAGGGGCAAGGGAGGGGAAAGAGGAGAAAGTTGACTTTTGAGTCGACTCAAAAGTCAACTGACAGCTAGGGGTCCGGCATACAGGGGCAAGGGAGGGGAAAGAGGGGAAAGTTGACTTTTGAGTCGACTCAAAAGTCAACTGACAGCTAGGGGTCTGGCATACAGGGGCAAGGGAGGGGAAAGAGGGGAAAGTTGACTTTTGAGTCGACTCAAAAGTCAACTGACAGCTAGGGGTCTGGAATACAGGGGCAAGGGAGGGGAAAGAGGGGAAAGCGGAGGCAGAGGCTGACATGGAAGGTGAGGCAGCACTCACCTCTCACCGGCTCGGCGCGGTAACAAGCCCCTGCCTGTAACACGTCCTGATGGAGAAAGAGGAGCACATCGGCATCATCAGCAGTAACACTAGGAGCAGCAGTGCTGGCACCAACATGGTCCTAGTGCTGGCACCAACATGGTCCTAGTGCTGGCACCAACATGGTCCTAGTGCTGGCACCAACATGGTCCTAGTGCTGGCACCAACATGGTCCTAGTGCTGGCACCAACATGGTCCTAGTGCTGGCACCAACATGGTCCTAGTGCTGGCACCAACATGGTCCTAGTGCTGGCACCAACATGGTCCTAGTGCTGGCACCAACATGGTCCTAGTGCTGGCACCAACATGGTCCCCACACCCCTCTCACAGGCACTCACCTCTAACTGGCTCTGCGCGGTAACAAGCACCCGCCTGCAGCACATCCTGCGGGCAAAACAGCACATCAGCGGTGCATGCCTGCCGTGCTCTCACAAGCACTCACCTCTCACTGGCTCGGCGCGGTAACAGGCACCCGCCTGCAGCACGTCCTGCGGGCGAAAGAGCACATCAGCATCATCGACAGCACCGGGAGCAGCAGCGCTGACGGTATCACCACCATGGGTCCTACTGGCACTGGCACTCACCTCTCACTGGCACTGGCACTCACCTCTCACTGGCTCGGCGCGGTAACAATAACAAGCGCCCGCCTGTAACACGTCCTGAGGGCGAAACAGCACATCAGCATCATTGGCAGTCTCGGGAGCAGCAGCGCTGACACCACAATCAAGGGTCACACGCACCTCTCTCACTGGCTCGCCACGGTAGCAAGCACCAGCTTGCAACACGTCTTGCGGGCGAAACAGCACATCGGCATCATCGGCAGCACCAGGATTAGCAGCGCTGGCACCACCACCAGCACAAGTCGCTGAACACTCACCATTACACAGCGGAACACGCACCTCTCACTGGCTCGGCGTGGTAGCATGCCCCTGCCTGAAACACGTCTTGTGGGCGAAACAGCACATTGGCATCATCGGCAGCACCGGGATAAGCAGCGCTGGCACCACAACCAAGAGTCACACCTCTCTCACAGACACTCACCTCTCACTGGCTCGGCACGCTAGCAAGAGCCCGCCTGTAACACGTACTGGCACCACCACCACCGCCACCAACACCACCACGGGTCACCTCTCTCACAGACATTCACCTCTGACTGGCTCGGCACGGTAACAAGCACCAGCTTGCAACACATCTTGCGGGCGAAACAGCACATCGGCATCATCAGCAGTAACACTAGGAGCAGCAATGCTGGCACCAACATGGTCCCCACACCCCTCTCACAGGCAGTCACCTCTAACCGGCTCAGCGCGGTAACAAGCCCCTGCCTGTAACACGTCCTGAGGGCGAAACAGCACATCAGCATCATCCGCAGCACCGGGATTAGCAGCCGCGCTGGCACCACCACCACCACCACCACCACGAGTAGCAGCGGCAGCAGCAGCGGTGCTTGTGTGAGCATGATTGCTCGTGTGAGGGTGAGTGACGAGGAAGTAGCGGCGGCCGTCGCAGAGAGAGGGGTGCCGCCGCCACAGCTGCTGCAGCGTGGTGCCTCCTGGGACCTCTTCGGTACGGCCGTCACATGCTATGCGAGCAAACCTGGGGAGCAGGAGAAGAGGGAGGGAAGGAGGCACAAGCATATTAGTGCTGGTTGCAGGGTGGGGTGTTGCCGCCACAGCTGCTGCAGCGTGGTGCCTCCTGGGACCTCTTCGGTACGGCCATCACTTGCTATGCGAGCAAACCTGGGGAGCAGGAGAAGAGGGAGGGAAGGAGGCACAAGCATATTAGTGCTGGTTGCAGGGTGGGGTGCCGCCGCCACAGCTGCTGCAGCGTGGTGCCTCCTGGGACCTCCTCCACGCGGCCATCACACACTATTCCAGCAAACCTGGGGAGCAGGAGAGAAGGAGGGACGAGAGAGGGAGGGAACGAGGGTCATGAGTGTGAGTGATTTGAAAACACAGTGCAGCAGTGCTCATCTTCCCCATCTCACCACCCATGGTCCCTCATCCATGGTCCCTCATCCATGGTCCCTCATCCATGGTCCCTCATCCATGGTCCCTCATCCATGGTCCCTCATCCATGGTCCCTCATCCATGGTCCCTCATCCATGGTCCCTCATCCATGGTCCCTCATCCATGGTCCCTCATCCATGGTCCCTCATCCATGGTCCCTCATCCATGGTCCCTCATCCATGGTCCCTCATCCATGGTCCCTCCCTCACCCAACTCACAAGAGCAATGCGAATGTGAGGCGAGAAGACAGCGACTTCTGCTCCGCACCTTTACCCTCATCACTCCCTCCTCTCACCAATCCAGCCCCCCACCCCACATCACTGCCACTCTCTCTCCGCCCATGGTCCTCCGCCCATGGTCCTCCGCCCATGGTCCTCCGCCCAACTCACGCGAGCAATGCAAACGCGAGGTGAGAAGACAGCGAGTGCTGCTCCGCGCTCTCAACCCCCTCATCTTTCCCCACTCCTCATCACCCCCTCCCTCTCAACCCCTCACTCTCACCCCTGATTAGATCACCCCCTCCCAACTCACGAGAGCGATGCGAATGCGAGGTGAGAAGACAGAGAGAGCTGCTCCGCGCCCTCCCCCTCATCTCCCCCTCCTCCCGTCCTCTTGCCCCTCCCTGCCCCTCCTCCTCCTGCTCCTGTTCCCGAGTGCTCTGGCCCTGCAAAAGGGGTTGAAACATGGGAAGCAGAGAAAGGGATTTTCGTGTCAACTCAACAGCCCCGCTCTCAGTGTGTCCCCCCACCCGAAACAGCCCTGCCCCTTAGGACGCGTCACAATTGCAATACCGATCCTGTGAGGGATCGGTGAGCACAATCTACAGTGTCATCGCCAATTCGTAGAAGCTGTGTATCCCTTTTTCGTCTACATTCGTTGAACGCCGCCGATGTTGCCGCCACAATCGTGCACTTTCCGATTGCCGAGATCGGATGGCTTGAAATGCCACATCGATCGTGCGATTGGCAGAGTGGGAATCGAAATTGCGCCACCAGTGATAGGCACAATCGATCGCCGTCGCAAACAGTCGGCCTGCGTCGATGCGGTTACAGGGCGAGAGATTGTGCGCGTCGTCACAAGCATGGCGAAATTGTATGACTCGCCAGCAAAGCAATGCGCAGCCCTGGCATCTGGGTGTACAGTTGGCACGGATGGAGGTCCCCCACATGCAATTCCGGTCGTGTCCCAAGAGGCTCGGGGAAAGCAGCCGACACTGCTCACGCAGATTGAAACTGGCTGTTTCAAGAGCGATGCTGCCATTTTCAGTGTTTGATCCCGATCCTCCCCGGTGTTGCAATTGTGACGCGTCCTTAGGTTCCCATCTGAGACACACTCTGACTTACTCCCTCCCCGCCGCACCACTCACCCAGCCAGCAGTGCGCCTGCCCATCTCAGCCCCGCTCTCCGCCTGTCTCCCCCTCCAAACAGCACCTCCACCTTCCCCCCGCCCAGCCTCAACACACACCACTACACACCCACACCTATTCCGTTACCGCCCCACCACCACTCACCCAGCCAGCAGGGCGCCTGCCCATCTCTGTCCTGCTCTCCGCCTGTCTCCTCCCATCAGCCCACTGCCACATCCCATCTAACCGCTTATTCCCCCTTACCGCACCACCACGCACCCAACCAGCAGTGCGCGCGGTACCTCAGCCCCGCTCTCAGCCTATGTCCCCCATCAACCCACTCGCACTCATCCACAGCCCCACACATCATCGTATTCCCCTCTCCCCGCCCGACCACTCACCCACCCAGCCGGCAGTGTGCGCGGTATCTCAGCCCCGCCCTCAGCCTCTCCCCCCCATCAGCCCACTGCCACATCCGCATTTATCTGCTTATTCCCCCTTACAGCACCACCACTCACCCAGCCAGCAGTGCGCGCGGTACCTCAGACCCGCCCTCAGTCTGTCTCCCCCCCGAAACAGCACCTCAACCTTAGCACTCGCGCGCTCCACCCCACCCGCTCCGCCTCCGCGGGCCCCCGCGCCCCCCTTGCCCCCCCCCGTCTCCCCCCGAAGCCGCGTGGTCAGGAAATACCGCCGCCCCGAGCCTAGCAGGTCCGGCCGAGCCTCCCAGATCTCCGCCAGGGTAGCATTGGGCCGAGCCAAGACCCCGAGCGTCCCCGGCACGTGGATATGCACGTGCCTGCAGGAAGGGAAGGGGAGGGGGGAGAATGGGGGGGAGGCGAGTCAGGGGAAGGAGAAAGAAAAAGTGAGACCTAGTAATCGTTTCGACCAGCCTATTAACTACTACCTTTCCCGAAGCGCCTTACTCTTCCCCCTTGAGGTCCGGCCGGCCCATCCAATCGCTCGACACAGTGCGAACCACGCCGTCCGTCGCGCCGCCAATCGCGGCGAGCTTCTCGCCGCCGCTTGCGCCGCCATCGGACCGCTCAGTGCCGACAATTGCGCCGGGTTTCCCGGCAGGTGACGGATTCTGGGGCTCGCGGTCCGGTGCCGGCTGAACCTGCGCTTTCCGCCTGAAGAAGTTCATAGCTTAGGACGGAGACTAATTTAGGAACAAGGCTGGGTTAGGAAGAGGACTTCCAATGTCCGAGTAGTAGCTTTTGAGTGTCCTGAAAAATCTCCTAAGTTCGTCGCTTAGTAAGAAGACCTTCAATCATAGTAGGTAGGCCCGCGGAATGAATCGCATTCCGAAGCGCGTTCTGGGTGGACCGAAGCAAGCTTGCTCCGAATAGATTTCGAAACCGCAATGGTGTAAACCGCAATCAACTCTGACCTTACTGCTGCGTGGCAATCTGTAGCGTCACTATGAAATCCACGTTATACGAATACTCAATGGTCTTGTGCATCGAGTAGCCTAGTAGGTAAGTGCACGTCCAATGTCGAGACCTGCTTTTGGTAGCCTCGCAAATGTCATATAAGGAGTTTCTGACTTGTAGTTAGGAGATGGACTCATGGCTATGCTGTTGATTACAGTATATGTGAGCTCAGCTGATGATTTGAGTCTGTCTGACACAAAGTACCAGACTGACATTTCCCGCCAGTTCCCCGAACATGCGCCGATGCTAGGTCGTTTAGTGGTTACGCAATAGGGGTGACGCTATGAAGGAGTACTGGTGTAGAACAAGATGTTTCGAATTTCATTACACATCAAACCTCATAGAATATATCAGTATTTGTTTTCAAGGTTCTGAACTTCTTTCTGAACAAGATGTTGCGAATTTCATTCCCTGGGTTTGTCGTCCACCTGCGCTATGATATACTGTACTGCATAGTAACGTAACGTGCCTCAAAACGGTCAATGTGGAAAGGAAAGACACTTCTGCCACGTAACGTGCGCTTACCGACGTCGTCGGCGTGACGAAGTCCTGCGGATGTGTGCACCAGACAACCAAGCTCATTGCTGCAGCCGTTTCGTTACACTCCGCTGTGAGTGTTCTCGTCCGCCACAAGTTATTGAGATTTTGTTTGTGCACCCATTTTGTGTACACCTCCACCATTTGGTGTTCCTCCTCGAGGCCGCAGCACACTTTCCAACTTCCGGAAATTGCAATATCGGGCAGTCTGCGAGTCAAATTTGTGCTTGACTTTCCCAGCCGCATTTCAAGCACAGGCTGTCGTTTGTGTTTTTCTGGGGAAAATGATGCTGATGACGAGACGATAACCTCCACCTTGGCACTGGCACGTCTCTTGGGCTCGGCTCGGGCAGGTGTACAGTACAGCCTTTCTCCCCTTGGAACTGTGTGTACGGAATTGATAAAGACAGCCGAATATGAACTGTATGTTTTTAGGTGGAAGAAGAATACAATACACACAGTACAGTAATACACTGTGATGCAGCACTCATCTGTGGGGTGTAGTCGGGCATTCGACAACTTACATCGTGCATTTGTCTTGTCGAAGTCATGGAATCCACAATGCCAGCCTGGTGGTGTCAAGACAAGAGCCGTGCGCGCGATGCGATGCAACGGGGTCATCAACACAGTTCCATCCAGAAGTCTCCTCTCCTCTCTTCCTCCCCACAGTTGACATATCGGGCGGATTCAGCTTTCCTTTGCTCCGATATTCCAAGGTCTCATTTCCCGAGAACTGTTCAGTTTCGTCCGTTTTCTGCACAACCGCAAGTTGGCGCTGCCAGTCAGTGGTGAAATGTGGAGACGAAGCACGCCTCGGCTCGACGGAATTCAAGTGTGTGTTTCTCAACCTCCCGCGTCACGCCCGTCAGGTCTGGTGTCAGCGGAACGCGCAAATCGCGGCTGGAATGACATGACGCCCTGCGCCCAATCCCCATCTTCCCCCACCGCCACTTTCTGTTGAACCGTCCACTGGCGGGCGTGGCGAGCTCGCGAATTCTCAAATGCCCGTTTCGATTTCGCACCGTGCCTTCCCCCCCTTGCGGCAGTCGTCGTTTTCCTCTCGTTTTGGCACATGCAGCACCCTCTTTCGCCATCCACGCTTTCGCAGTTTCCGCCTTCCCATCTTTCTGTAACAGAATACAGTGTTGGCAGACGAGCACAGTCGACGAAAAAAGCAGCGCTGTACGTTTCATCGCCGATGCTAGTAAGGTTACAATTTGTGCAATTTGTGACACACCGACCCATTCTCGTTTTGGCTGGCTAACTCCGATTGGCTGCGACGTTTTCATCGGCCTTCCCTTGTCTCCGCTCAGCACCGCAGTTTCCCGCCGACCGCAGCAGCTGCACCTCTCGTGGCCTGTACAGCACGTTACGTTCGTTGGCTGCAGTACTGCGGGGACCTTTGCATCAACGTGCCCACCACCTCCCGTCAGTTTAGGAATCTAGTGTTGACAAAACGAACAAGGCCCTTCTGTGCTGATACACATACACATGTCCCTCACTCACAGAGAGTCCCTTCTGAGTTCAAGTCTTGATTTGGATCCCGATTCCTCCTACGCATCCAGAATCCAAATTTCTCCTCCTAGTTCACATATAGCTGTAACTGCGTGCAGACCAGTGCGGCTCCGTTGTTGTCGTCATCCTTGTTTGTGCATGCATTGGCGCCGTACCCCACCTATCCGCACCGTAGTTTAAAATTTGCCACCGCATTATACCCCACCTCACTCACTCAGCGTCTCACTAACTTTTCAGCGTTGCATTGGTCAGGTCACCCATCACCACCGACAGCCCCTTGCAGTTTTCTTCTCGTTACTGTTGCAACGACCTTCCGACGGGACGGACAGGACGTCCCGAAAGTTGCTCTCAGAAACTCTCAGCAGCAGCCTTGGTGCAACTTTCAGGGCAGGCTTCGCGCATTATTGTAACGAAAATGCTTCTTGGGTCCCCAGCCACTCCCCGGCCCCGGCCCGTCCGATCTCTGGGAGTCCCGTCTCGTCCCATCTCCGATCTGCAGCTTAGAAGAATGCCTGGAAGGCACCCCGCAGATCCGCTACCACCTCTAGCTTCGTGTACTAAAGGCGCGAGAGGCACCAGACTTCATTCCAATGCTTTCAGACTCGAACTTGCGCCTTTATTCTTTCTTCCTTCTCGGATCGATTTGAAGCTCCCGTCTCTCAGAGGGAATCGTTAGTGTCCCGTGTTCCCTTGGCATCCTAAATAGCTTTGTCAAAGCGACTCGACTAGCTGAGAAACTTGGGACATCATAATTCGGATCTTGGGAGTAAGCGGTATCCGACTCCCCAATCTGCTCTCTCCTGTTCCAGCGCGAAACTCGGAAACAGCTTAGTAACACTTAAGGATATTCGTTTTGAACGCCTATTGAGTTATTCCAGCATGGCTTTGGCTGCTCGATCACCCTCTGACGGCCTGCTAGCCGGCAAATCTGCCGGCCGGCGCGCTCTGCCGGTGCTCCGTCAGGCCCCCGTTTCGCTCCTCTGCGCCGTCGACTCCGCCGCGTCCAAGCGAGCGGGCTTCCACGAAGCTTCTAACTCCGCGGTTTTCAAGGCCAAAACGAGCCTATCAGCGGCGGACTTGCTCATGCTTCTCAGCCCCACGGTAGCAAGCTCCGCGAATATCGGTGCGATCAACGGCGGACCGTACGCGTGCCGCGAGTGCTCCAACAAGTTCCCGTCGCTACACTCTCTTGACTTCCACTACCAGACTTACCACAGTAAGGACAAGAAAAGCCGCCTGCCGGTTGGCCACCCGGTGGGCGGCAGCAACGACAGCGAGGAACCTGCCGGAAGCGGCTCCGCCGCGCCGAGCAAAAGCGGCACGCCGCCGCCCCCGCGGGTTGCGAGCCGTCGGGCGCACGTCGCGGCGTCGCAAGAAACTCTGGAGGAATCTGGAAGCGCCGCCAGCGCTGCGGCGGCGTCGCAGAGCCAGGGACGATCGCCATCGTTGTCGCCGTCGCCGTCCGCGACGACGATTCCGTTGTCTGGCGCCGGCGAAGATGTCGCCGCCGCAGGTGCGATGGCTGCGGCGACGGGTGCTGCGAAGACATTGTCGCAGCAGCGGCGTGGCGCGAAACGAAACCGCGCCGACAGCCAGCCTGGCGGGGCGAACCCGTCGGCACCTGCCTCGAAACGGGGCGGCAGGCGCTGCGGCGGTGCTGCTTCTGAGAAGTTTCCTGGGCGCGTGACGGAGCTCGGCGGCTGCGCCGCAGGGGCTCAGATCGCGACAATGGATGCCGGCCGAGCAGAGTCAATTAAAGTGGAGTCGCAGCGACTCGGACGCCCCAGAATCGCGGGGAAGAAGTGGCAACCGCCGAGTGTTCTTGTAACGAGCGGTGCTGATAAGTCTGTGGGTGACGTCGGTCGCGACGGAGGCGCGCTCACTCCGTCGGACACGTCAGCTTTGCAGCCACGTCGGATCGGCGCGCTCGCAGGGTCCTGCCTGACCCTGACGGATCGAATGAACTCGCTGACGTCATCACTGACGGACCTGACGGCCGCCGGAAGCAATCCCGTCAGCCCCACGACCCCTACCACCGTGCCGTTGTTCGGGGGAGCTTCTGGCGGCGCCGCGAATGGCGGCGGAGTTGGCGCCGTGCATGGCGGCGGTTTCAATGGGAAGGCTGCAGCGCAGGCGTCTCAGCTCCAGCAGCTGATGGCTCTGGTGATGCAGGAGCAGGAAAAGCGGGGGAGACTTGTGCGGAAAACGGAGCACACTGTAACGGCGCAGAGAGTTGAACGGCCTGAGCCTCACTGCCTGCAGCCCCAACGGTCAGTGGCCACATCAGATGCTAAGGGGATTACCTCTTTAAATGCATTATGGTCTATGCAGCCTCCGAACCCAACCAGCAGCTGTCAAGCACAAAGGCCCTCACCTGCGAATCCTTCACTCGCCACAGTTCGTCAGGTGGTAACCAATGCTACTTCTGGCGCGCCTGGTGCCGATTCCCCGTCGTTTCCTGCTCTGGCTCGTGCTGACGGGAGGCAGGGACCTGGTGACGTGGCAGGAAGCCAGCTCAGCATGCTGGTGGCTGTGCTGGCATCAAGGCTTGGTCAGCAGAAGGCACCAGTGGCAGCAGGAGAGGGAGCAGTAATGATGCAGGAGTGCAGGGAGATGGAGCTATTGAATTGTGTCAAGGGGCAAGGAATTGCAGGGCCTGCTGCTATGGTGCAATGCAGGGAGGTAGACTTGGATCTTAGACTGTAAATCGTACTGCTTGTAGCATCTCAGTGAGTGTGTGTACAGGTCTGCACAGTTGCCTGTTCAATACTACTATTAATACCATACCTAACTAACCTTGAGTACTGGTCTCCAGAAGTGTTTGAATGCGAGAACTAGAGGTGCGTCCAGTGAAAGTCCAGAAGTTTTTTAGTGCAAACAGGAAACACCGGGGGTTAGTGCGGACAGACCTTAGTTACTAAAACTCTACTAGATTGGTTGATTAGTGTGCTATGGATTCTTCTAGTCGAATGGGAACACGAAATGGTCAACTCTCCAAGCACCTCATAAACTTAAAAGTAAAACGCTCCCAGGTGGGCTTGAACCACCGACCTTATGGTTAACAGCCATACGCTCTAACCAACTGAGCTACGAGAGCTGTCCAAATGTGGACTTTTGTGTTCTTATTAAGTTTTTTCTGTTTGCCCACAAAAAGTTTCCTCCCGCATTCTGCACCGCCTAGCCATGACGACAGCTGAAGCGGGAATTGTTGAGTTCCTAGACGGCACAAGCGAGAAACATGGCGGTAGTCACGGCGGTAAAGGAAATAAGCGACAGCGGAAGCAGCTATCCTCGTCGTCCTCGTTTTTAGACCGTTTCGATAGTGGCAGTGACGATGAGGAACCAGGTGGTAAAACTCGTAAACGCGGCGTTCACTCAGCCGCAAACGCTGACGCGTCTAACGATGCAGAAGCAGGATTGTTATTAGACGGAGGTGACACTAACGAGGGGCGAGGTGTAGAGGATCGAAGATCACAAAAAAGAGCTTTAGAGGCGGGAGCGGCTGTTGCGCTAAGAGCGGGGACCGCGGGGGGAAAGGGGAAGGGAACGGGGGGGGCTGCGGGGGAAAAGAGAAAGGGCGCTTCCTCTACTACGCGCAAGAAGGGGGTTAAGGGACAGGGTTTATCGGGATCTCCTTCGGAAGGTTCTAGGGGAGAAGGGTTGGGAGATGCAGAGGAGGGGTTTGCGGATTACGTAGAGGAGGAGGATGAGGAAAGATCAGGAGAGAGTGAGGGAGAGGAGGAGAGTGAGGGAGAGGAGGGAAGTGAAGAGGATGAGTTGAGCGGAAGTGAGAGTGGGGAAGGGGAGGAGGAAGGAGAGGAGGAAGGAGAGGAAGGAGAGGAGGAGGAGGGGGATGGGGACGGCGCAGGAGCAGCAGGGTCGGGAGCAGCCCCTTCATCATCTTTCGCAACAGCCTTCGCGAGCATCATGGCGAAGAAGGTCCCTGTTACCGGCAAGGTGCGCGAGAGCAACGGGGTTCCGGGTGCTGGAGGAGGGGAAGGCAGCGGCAGCAGGGCAAGGTGCTTTATCCTTCCTCTCATGTAGCATTTTTCCTGTTCCTGCTCCCCTCCCCCCCTTGCCTCCCCCAAATCCTCCCCCAGGCGCCCATCCTAGCAGCGCGCAAGAAGCTGCTGGAGGAGGGGAAGGCAGAAGCGGGAGTGGCGGTGCCGTCTGTACTTTCTCTGCTCATTCCCCCTCCTTCCGCCCCCTCGTCTCCCCCCTTTCCCTTCCCTCCCACCAGGCGCCCATCCTAGCAGCGCGCAAGAAGCTGCTGGAGGAGGGGAAGGCGGCGGCAGGAGAGCGAGCTTCATTCACTCCAGTCCTTTTTTCCGCCTTCCTCCCCCCTTCCCCTTCCGCCCCCTTCCCCCCTGAACCCTCCCCCAGGCGCCCATCCTAGCAGCGCGCAAGAAGCTGCTGGAGGAGGGGAAGGCGGCGGCGGGGGAGGCGAAGGCGAAAGCAGCATCAGCAGCTGAGAGGAAACAGGCGAAGATGATGGTGAGTGGAGGGAGTGATGGCGTTTCCCCGATGTTTAGGAAAGAGAGGTTGAGGAGGCGAGAGGAAGGCAGCGGCAGCAGGGGAGACGAAGGCAAAGGCAGCGTCGGCAGCTGAGAGGAAACAGGCAAAGCTGATGGTGAGTGGAGGGGTGAGGGGGACTGGTTGTTGGGGCGCCCTTAGAAGGGGAGGCAAAGGCCAAAGCAGCGTCAGCAGCCGAGAGGAAGCAGGCGAAGATGATGGTGTGTGAGTGGGTGGGGTGCCAGGTCTCTTGTATCCCGCATGTACACAGAAGGAGAGGGAGATGGCACATGTGCTGCCAGAGCCGTTCCTGGGCCCGTTACTCATTCCCTCTCCCCCTCCCCTTCACTCCCCACCCCCTCCCCACCCACCCAACCCCCCCCTCTCAACCAGGAGAGGGAGACGGGCACATGTGCTGCCAGAGCCATTTCACAAGCACCAATCCTCATACCCTTTCCCTTCCTCTTCCTTACCCCCCCAACCTTCCCTTTTCCACATCTCCTTTCCTTTCCCTTCCCTTACCTGCATTCCCTTCCCCCCCCAATCTTTCCCGTCCCACACACCAGGAGGGGGAGATGGCGCAAGTTCTGCCAGCCAGAGCTGTTTCACTAACGAATTCCTTATTCCCTCTCCCCCTCCCTTTCAACCCCAAACCCCTCCCTTTCAACCCCAAACCCCTCCCCCGGTGCCCGGCCCGAACCTTCCCCGAATCCCACTTGTGTGCACACCAGGAGAGGGAGATGGCGCATGTGCTGCCAGAGCCGTTTCTAGGCCCAAAGGAAAAAGCCCTGGTGAAGATTGCGACCAAGGGAGGTGAGAGCAGCACAGTGCATGTGGTGGGTGCATCCGTGTTCGCGTGTGGTATGTCTCTTCGCATGTCTCTCTCTCACACAATCACTCAGCCCTTTGAAAGTTCCTGCTCTTGATAGATCGTTGTGCCTTTGAAGAGAAGGCTCTGGTCAAGAGTTAGTCATTGTGCATTGCTGCGAGATATGCCAACGTTAACACCTGCCAACCTCAAGCCCCCTGCCAGCTAGGTGACTTTTGAGTCACCGCGTTACACCTGCCAACCTCAAGCACCCTGCTACCTGCCCCTCAATCTGAGGCGCCCCCCCTTCTTTTCTGCTGTGTGCTCCTTCTGCCCATCCCATTCCGATCCACCCCGCCCCATGCCATATGACGCCATTCCACCTGCCGGCAACAGTGGTTCGGCTCTTCAATGCGGTGCGTCCGTGCCAGTGTCCCTATCTCATGTGCCCTTCCATCCCCTGCTCACATTGCCCTTGTGACTTGTCCCTATCGTGTCCACTCCCCCATGCACACTCAGTTCTCACACATTCTCATTTACTGCTCCTCGCCCCTCACTCCACCTGCTACTCACTCCACCTTCTACTCACTCCACCTACTCACTCTCATCCCTCTCTCACCACCCTTTACTTTCTGCGACCTAACGTGAGACCTCCTTTTCCCTCTTTTGCCCCCACAGGTCAGCAAGGCCCAGAAGGTGCAGAAGCAAGCATCGACCAAAGGTACCCCGTTCCAGCCAGTGTTCCAACTTTCACTCATGCTGACGCCCACTCATGCTGACGCCCACTCATGCTTTAGTGGAGCCGGTTTTAAGAGCTCTTTATAACAAATTTGTGACATACACGTGATTATTCTATAACAAGTTCATGTTCACCTCCATTCATGTTCACCCCCATTCACGTTCACCCTCATTCACGTTCATCTTCATTCACGTTCACCCCCATTCATGTTCACCCCCATTCACATTCGCCCCCATTCACGTTCACCCCAATTCACGTTCACCTCCATTCACGTTCACCCCCATTCACGTTCACCCCCATCACGTTCACCCTCATTCACGTTCACCCCCATTCACGTTCACCCCCATTCACATTCACCCACATTCACGTTCACTCCCATTCACGTTCACCTCCATTCACGTTCACCCCCATTCGCGTTCACCCCCATTCACGTTCACCCCCATTCACGTTCACCCCCATTCACGTTCACCCCCATTCACGTTCACCCCCATTCACGTTCACCCCCATTCACGTTCACTCCCATTCACGTTCACCCTCATTCACGTTCACCCCCATTCACATTCACCCCCATTCACGTTCACCCCCATTCACGGTCACTCCCATTCACGTTCACTCCCATTCACGTTCACCCTCATTCACGTTCACCCCCATTCACGTTCACCCCCATTCACGATCACACCCATTCACGTTCACTCCCATTCACGTTCACCCTCATTCACGTTCACCCTCATTCACGTTCACCCCCATTCACGTTCACCCCCATTCACGTTCACTCTCATTCACGTTCACCGTCATTCACGTTCACCCCCGTTCACGTTCACCCCCATTCACGTTCACCCCCATTCACGTTCACCCCCATTCACGTTCACTTCCATTCACGTTCACCCCCATTCACGTTCACCCCCATTCACGTTCACCACCATTCACGTTCACCCCCACCATTCATGTTCACACCCATTCACGTTCACTCCCATTCACGTTCACCCTCATTCACGTTCACCCCAATTCACGTTCATCCCCATTCACGTTCATCCCCATTCACGTTCACCCCCATTCACGTTCACCCCCATTCACCTTTACCCCCATTCACGTTCACCCCCATTCACGTTCACCCCCATTCACGTTCACCCCCACCATTCATGTTCACACCCATTCACGTTCACTCCCATTCACGTTCACCCCCATTCACGTTCACCCCAATTCACGTTCATCCCCATTCACGTTCACCCCCATTCACGTTCACTTCCGTTCACGTTCACCCCCATTCACGTTCACCCCCATTCACGTTCACCACCATTCACGTTCACCCCCACCATTCATGTTCACACCCATTCACGTTCACTCCCATTCACGTTCACCCTCATTCACGTTCACCCCCATTCACGTTCACCCCCATTCACATTCACCCCCATTCACGTTCACCCCCATTCACGTTCACCCCCATTCACGTTCATTCTCATTCACGTTCACCCTCATTCACGTTCACCCCCATTCACGTTCACCCTCATTCACGTTCACCCCCATTCACGTTCACCCCCATTCACGATCACACCCATTCACGTTCACTCCCATTCACGTTCACCCTCATTCACGTTCACCCTCATTCACGTTCACCCCCATTCACGTTCACCCCCATTCACGTTCACCCCCATTCACGTTCACTTCCATTCACGTTCACCCCCATTCACGTTCACCCCCATTCACGTTCACCACCATTCACGTTCACCCCCACCATTCATGTTCACACCCATTCACGTTCACTCCCATTCACGTTCACCCTCATTCACGTTCACCCCAATTCACGTTCATCCCCATTCACGTTCATCCCCATTCACGTTCACCCCCATTCACGTTCACCCCCATTCACCTTTACCCCCATTCACGTTCACCCTCATTCACGTTCACCCCCATTCACGTTCATCCCCATTCACGGTCACTCTCATTCACGTTCACCCCCATTCACGTTCACCCCCATTCACGTTCACCCCCATTCACGTTCACCCCCATTCACGTTCACCCCCATTCACGTTCACCCCCATTCACGTCCACCCCCATTCACGTTCACCCCCATTCACGTTCACCCCCATTCACGTTCACCCCCATTTCACGTTCACCCCCATTCACGTTCAACCCCATTCACGTTCACCCCCACCATTCATGTTGACACCCATTCACGTTCACTCCCATTCACGTTCACCCTCATTCACGTTCACCCCCATTCACGTTCACCCCCATTCACGTTCACCCCCTTTCACGTTCACCCCCATTCACGTTCACCCCCATTCACGTTCATTCTCATTCACGTTCACCCTCATTCACGTTCACCCCCATTCACGTTCACCCTCATTCACGTTCACCCTCATTCACGTTCACCCCCATTCATGTTCACCCCCATTCACATTCGCCTCCATTCACGTTCACCTCCATTCACGTTCACCCCCATTCACGTTCACCCCCATTCACGTTCACCCCCATCACGTTCACCCCCATTCACGTTCACCCCCATTCACGTTCACCCCCATTCACGTTCACTCTCGTTCACGTTCACCCTCATTCACGTTCACCCCCATTCACGTTCACCCCCATTCACGTTCACCCCCATTCACGTTCACCCCCATTCACGTTCACCCCCATTCACGTTCACCCCCATTCACATTCACCCACATTCACGTTCACTCCCATTCACGTTCACCTCCATTCACGTTCACCCCCATTCGCGTTCACCCCCATTCACGTTCACCCCCATTCACGTTCACCCCCATTCACGTTCACCCCCATTCACGTTCACCCCCATTCACGTTCACCCCCATTCACGTTCACTCCCATTCACGTTCACCCTCATTCACGTTCACCCCCATTCACATTCACCCCCATTCACGTTCACCCCCATTCACGGTCACTCCCATTCACGTTCACTCCCATTCACGTTCACCCTCATTCACGTTCACCCCCATTCACGTTCACCCCCATTCACGATCACACCCATTCACGTTCACTCCCATTCACGTTCACCCTCATTCACGTTCACCCTCATTCACGTTCACCCCCATTCACGTTCACCCCCATTCACGTTCACTCTCATTCACGTTCACCGTCATTCACGTTCACCCCCGTTCACGTTCACCCCCATTCACGTTCACCCCCATTCACGTTCACCCCCATTCACGTTCACTTCCATTCACGTTCACCCCCATTCACGTTCACCCCCATTCACGTTCACCACCATTCACGTTCACCCCCACCATTCATGTTCACACCCATTCACGTTCACTCCCATTCACGTTCACCCTCATTCACGTTCACCCCAATTCACGTTCATCCCCATTCACGTTCATCCCCATTCACGTTCACCCCCATTCACGTTCACCCCCATTCACCTTTACCCCCATTCACGTTCACCCCCATTCACGTTCACCCCCATTCACGTTCACCCCCACCATTCATGTTCACACCCATTCACGTTCACTCCCATTCACGTTCACCCCCATTCACGTTCACCCCAATTCACGTTCATCCCCATTCACGTTCACCCCCATTCACGTTCACTTCCGTTCACGTTCACCCCCATTCACGTTCACCCCCATTCACGTTCACCACCATTCACGTTCACCCCCACCATTCATGTTCACACCCATTCACGTTCACTCCCATTCACGTTCACCCTCATTCACGTTCACCCCCATTCACGTTCACCCCCATTCACATTCACCCCCATTCACGTTCACCCCCATTCACGTTCACCCCCATTCACGTTCATTCTCATTCACGTTCACCCTCATTCACGTTCACCCCCATTCACGTTCACCCTCATTCACGTTCACCCCCATTCACGTTCACCCCCATTCACGATCACACCCATTCACGTTCACTCCCATTCACGTTCACCCTCATTCACGTTCACCCTCATTCACGTTCACCCCCATTCACGTTCACCCCCATTCACGTTCACCCCCATTCACGTTCACTTCCATTCACGTTCACCCCCATTCACGTTCACCCCCATTCACGTTCACCACCATTCACGTTCACCCCCACCATTCATGTTCACACCCATTCACGTTCACTCCCATTCACGTTCACCCTCATTCACGTTCACCCCAATTCACGTTCATCCCCATTCACGTTCATCCCCATTCACGTTCACCCCCATTCACGTTCACCCCCATTCACCTTTACCCCCATTCACGTTCACCCTCATTCACGTTCACCCCCATTCACGTTCATCCCCATTCACGGTCACTCTCATTCACGTTCACCCCCATTCACGTTCACCCCCATTCACGTTCACCCCCATTCACGTTCACCCCCATTCACGTTCACCCCCATTCACGTTCACCCCCATTCACGTCCACCCCCATTCACGTTCACCCCCATTCACGTTCACCCCCATTCACGTTCACCCCCATTTCACGTTCACCCCCATTCACGTTCAACCCCATTCACGTTCACCCCCACCATTCATGTTGACACCCATTCACGTTCACTCCCATTCACGTTCACCCTCATTCACGTTCACCCCCATTCACGTTCACCCCCATTCACGTTCACCCCCTTTCACGTTCACCCCCATTCACGTTCACCCCCATTCACGTTCATTCTCATTCACGTTCACCCTCATTCACGTTCACCCCCATTCACGTTCACCCTCATTCACGTTCACCCTCATTCACGTTCACCCCCATTCATGTTCACCCCCATTCACATTCGCCTCCATTCACGTTCACCTCCATTCACGTTCACCCCCATTCACGTTCACCCCCATTCACGTTCACCCCCATCACGTTCACCCCCATTCACGTTCACCCCCATTCACGTTCACCCCCATTCACGTTCACTCTCGTTCACGTTCACCCTCATTCACGTTCACCCCCATTCACGTTCACCCCCATTCACGTTCACTCCCATTCACGTGCACCCCCATTCACGTACACCCCCATTCACATTAACCCCCATTCACGGTCACTCCCATTCACGTTCACCCTCATTCACGTTCACCCCCATTCACGATCACACCCATTCACGTTCACTCCCATTCACGTTCACTCTCATTCACGTTCACCCTCATTCACGTTCACCCCCATTCACGTTCACCCCCATTCACGTTCACCCCCATTTACGTTCACCCCCATTCACGTTCACCTCCATTCACGTTCACCCCCATTCACGTTCATCCCCATTCACGTTCACCCCCATTCACGTTCACCCCCATTCACGTTCACCCCCATTCACATTCACCCCCATTCACGTTCACCCTCATTCACGTTCACCCCCATTCACGTTCACCCCCATTCACGGTCACTCTCATTCACGTTCACCCCCATTCACGTTCACCCCCATTCACGTTCACCCCCATTCACGTTCACCCCCATTCATATTCACCCCCATTCACGTTCACCCTCATTCACGTTCACCCCCATTCACGTTCACCCTCATTCACGTTCACCCTCATTCACGTTCACCCCCATTCATGTTCACCCCCATTCACATTCGCCTCCATTCACGTTCACCTCCATTCACGTTCACCCCCATTCACGTTCACCCCCATTCACGTTCACCCCCATCACGTTCACCCCCATTCACGTTCACCCCCATTCACGTTCACCCCCATTCACGTTCACTCTCGTTCACGTTCACCCTCATTCACGTTCACCCCCATTCACGTTCACCCCCATTCACGTTCACTCCCATTCACGTGCACCCCCATTCACGTACACCCCCATTCACATTCACCCCCATTCACGGTCACTCCCATTCACGTTCACCCTCATTCACGTTCACCCCCATTCACGTTCACCCCCATTCACGATCACACCCATTCACGTTCACTCCCATTCACGTTCACTCTCATTCACGTTCACCCTCATTCACGTTCACCCCCATTCACGTTCACCCCCATTCACGTTCACCCCCATTTACGTTCACCCCCATTCACGTTCACCTCCATTCACGTTCACCCCCATTCACGTTCATCCCCATTCACGTTCACCCCCATTCACGTTCACCCCCATTCACGTTCACCCCCATTCACATTCACCCCCATTCACGTTCACCCTCATTCACGTTCACCCCCATTCACGTTCACCCCCATTCACGGTCACTTTCATTCACGTTCACCCCCATTCACGTTCACCCCCATTCACGTTCACCCCCATTCACGTTCACCCCCATTCACGTTCACCCCCATTCACGTTCACCCCCATTCACGTTCACCCCCATTCACGTCCACCCCCATTCACGTTCACCCCCATTCACGTTCACCCCCATTTCACGTTCACCCCCATTCACGTTCACCCCCATTCACGTTCACCCCCACCATTCATGTTGACACCCATTCACGTTCACTCCCATTCACGTTCACCCTCATTCACGTTCACCTCCATTCACGTTCACCCCCATTCACGTTCACCCCCATTCACGTTCACCCCCATTTACATTCACCCCCATTCACGTTCACCCCTATTCACGTTCATTCCCATTCACGTTCACCCTCATTCACGTTCACCCCCATTCACGTTCACCCTCATTCACGTTCACCCTCATTCACGTTCACCCTCATTCACGTTCACCCCCATTCATGTTCACCCCCATTCACATTCGCCCCCATTCACGTTCACCTCCATTCACGTTCACCCCCATTCACGTTCACCCCCATTCACGTTCACCCCCATCACGTTCACCCCCATTCACGTTCACCCCCATTCACATTCACCCCCATTCACGTTCATCCCCATTCACGTTCACCTCCATTCGCGTTCACCCCCATTCGCGTTCACCCCCATTCACGTTCACCCCCATTCACGTTCACCCCCATCACGTTCACCCCCATCACGTTCACCCCCATTCACGTTCACCCCCATTCACGTTCACTCCCGTTCACGTTCACCCTCATTCACGTTCACCCCCATTCACGTTCACCCCCATTCACGTTCACCCCCATTTACGTTCACCCCCATTCACGTTCACCCCCATTCAAGTTCACCCCCATTCACGTTCACCCCCATTCACGTTCACTCCCATTCACGTTCACCCCCATTCAATTTCACCCCCATTCATGTTGACCCCCATTCACGTTCACCCCCATTCACGGTCACTCCCATTCACGTTCACTCCCATTCACGTTCACCCTCATTCACGTTCACCCCCATTCACGTTCACCCCCATTCACGTTCACACCCATTCACGTTCACTCCCATTCACGTTCACCCTCATTCACGTTCACCCTCATTCACGTTCACCCCCATTCATGTTCACCCCCATTCACGTTCACTCTCATTCACGTTCACCCTCATTCACGTTCACCCCCATTCACGTTCACCCCCATTCACGTTCACCCCCAATTCACATTCACCCCCATTCACGTTCACCCTCATTCAAGTTCACCCCCATTCACGTTCACCCCCATTCACGGTCACTCTCATTCACGTTCACCCCCATTCACGTTCACCCCCATTCACGTTCACCCCCATTCACGTTCACCCCCATTCACGTTCACCCCCATTCACGTTCACCCCCATTCACGTTCACACCCATTCACGTTCACCCCCATTCACGTTCGCTCTCATTCACGTTCACCCCCATTCACGTTCACCCCCATTCACGTCCACCTCCATTCACGTTCACCCCCATTCACGTTCACCCCCATTCACGTCCACCCCCATTAACGTTCACTCCCATTCACGTTCACCCCCATTCACGTTCACCCCCATTCACGTTCACCCCTATTCACGTTCACCCCCATTCACGTTCACCCCCATTCACGTTCACCGCCATTCACGTTCACCCCCCCCATTCATGTTCAGACCCATTCATGCTTAGAGACGTGTTTGCTCCGCTCTTGTTTCCGGTGCACTGCCCTTCAGATGCGGATAAAAAAACTAAGGCAGCTTTCCTGACGGAACTAAGAGGCTCAACGGCAACACCTGGTATTGGTGGCATCAGTGGTGCTGCTGCAAGGCAAGGAGGCAAGGTGAGCTCTTGTCATGTGTCCTTTCTCCTTCAACCCTTTTCACGCCTCATGCCTGCCTGTTGAGCACAGCTGTGCAGAAAGTACAGGTGTTTAAGTCGACTCAAAATTTGCTGTGGCACAAAGCTTTCCCTCAGACAGAACAAGTTCTCCATCCGCTTGTCTAACGCATGGAGTCCTCTCCATCCTCTTCGATTGCCCTAACTGGAAGCTCCTCGTCTTCCCTCCCCTTCTCTCAAGCTTTCCTCTGCCTGTTAGGAGCACAGTTGTGCACACAGTAGTACAGATTCCTCATTTGCTGTTCTTTCTCATAAAGGCCTCCTCTTTCATGGCCCTAACAGGAAGCTCTTTTTGTTCCCTCCTCTTCTCTCAATTCTTGAGAAATCTCAAGACAAATCCATCAGACTTTATGTCCCCTGTCCCCCCTCTCTCTTTCCCCTTGGACTGCCCTAACTGGAAGCTTTCCCTTTCTCTCAATCCTTCTGCAGACTAAGCCAGAGGCTGCCACGTCAGCAGCAGCGGCAGCAGAGGAGCCGACGTGGTCCTTGTTGGCCGATAGCTTTCAGCTGGGGCAGTCGAATCTCAAGGGGTGGGACAAGGGTGATGAGGTGAGCAATGATAGAGCGTTGTGGTGTGGTGGTGGTTAGTATCCAAGGAGTGAAGTCCCATGTCTCAGCAGAGGAGCCAAGGTGACTTTTGAGTTGACTCAAAAGTCACTTATAGAGCGGTGTGATGCGGTGGTGGTTGATATGCAAGGAGTGATGCCCATTGTCCCAGCAGAGGTGCCGACGTGGTCCTTATTGGCCGATAGCTTTCAGCTGGGGCAGTCGAACCTTAAGGGGTGGGACAAGGGCGACGAGGTGAGGACTGATAGAGCGGTGTGATGCGGTGGTGGTTGATATGCAATGTCTGCTGTCCTGACAGCATCGTGTGGGGTGTAGTGTTGGCCAGATAGGGCGATAGGGAATGCTGTCCGATAGGGAAAGCTGCTGTCATAGTACTGGCATGGTACGGCGCGCAGCGCACCATTCTCCCTTCACTCCCATGCGCACCACATGCCACATGCTCCATGCCCCACACCCCATGCCCCACACCCCATGCCCCACGATTCATTGCTTTCCCATCCCCCTCTTCCCTCTCTTGTTGTTCCCACCACAGGCGCTCATGGCGTTTGACCCTGAGGGCATTGCCATCGGGGAGCTTGATGACGATGATGAGGATGGGAGAGGGGAGGATGATGAGGATGGGGGAGGGGAGGATGAGGGGGATGATGTCACATGCCCCATGCTCATTGCCTACTGCTGCATCTTTCCACCCCACACACTAACAGGCGCCTATGGCGTTTGACCCCGAGGGCATTGCGATCGGGGAGCTAGATGACGATGATGAGGATGGGGGAGGGGATGATGATGAGGGGGGTGATGTCACATGCCCTGTGCCCCATGCCCTGTGCCCCATGCCCTGTGCCCCATGCCCTGTGCCCCATGCCCTGTGCCCCATGCCCTATCCCCCATACCCCCTCTCCCTTGATCCCATACCAACAGGCGCCCATGGCGTTTGACCCTGAGGGGATTGCCATCGGGGAGCTGGATGACGATGATGAGGATGATGGGGGAGGGGAGGATGATGGGGGAGGGGAGGATGATGGGGGAGGGGAGGATGATGGGGGAGGGGAAGATGATGGGGGAGGGGAGGATGATGGGGGAGGGGAGGATGATGGGGGAGGGGAGGATGATGGGGGAGGGGAGGATGATGGGGGAGGGGAAGATGATGGGGGAGGGGAGGATGATGGGGGAGGGGAGGATGATGGGGGAGGGGAAGATGATGGGGGAGGGGAGGATGATGGGGGAGGGGAGGATGATGGGGGAGGGGAGGATGATGGGGGAGGGGAGGATGGGGAGGGGAGGATGATGGGGGAGGGGAGGATGATGGGGGAGGGGAGGATGATGGGGGAGGGGAGGATGATGGGGGAGGGGAGGATGGCAATGGTGATGCTACATGCCTCCAAGCCTCCATGCCTCTTCCTATATTGCTTACTGCTGCGTCACCTTTTCCCCCTTCTCTTATCCCACCACAGGCGCCCATGGCGTTTGACCCCGAGGGGATTGCGATTGGGGAGCTGGATGAGGATGAGGATGATGGGGGAGGGGAGGATGATGATGAGGATGACAATGATAATGACCCATGCCCTGTGCCCCGTGCATCTCCCCTTCTTGCCTACTTGCCTACAGGCGCCCATGGCGTTTGACCCCGAAGGGATTGCAATTGGGGAGCTTGATGACGACGAGGATGAGGGGGGAGGGGAGGATGATGAGGATGAGGAGGAGAAGGATGCTGTGGGCGATATGGAAGAGGAGGAAGAGGATAGTGAGAGCGACGAGGATGAATGATGTTATGAGGATGGGAGAGGATGGGAGAGGATGGAAGAGGATGGTTGAGGGGAGGATGCTGGCGATGAGGAAGAGGATGCTGTGGGTGATATGGAGGAGGAGGAAGAGGAGGACTGCGACGAGGATGAATGATGTTAGGAGGATAATGAGTGGGATGCGGGAGGGGAGGACGAGGGTGATTATGGGGATGGTGATGAGGAGGATGCTGTGGATGATATGGACCAAAGAGAGGGACGAGGAGGGTAGTGACGGAAATTAGTGATGTTAGGACAATGATGATATGTTACAAGTATGCAGATGATGATATAACTGGCGAAGTAATTTGCTATAATCTACTGTTATAGTGCCTTTTCTTTTACAGTTGGCAACACAGAGCAGTGCAGCAAAATTGGAAGGAAGATTAGGAAAAGAAAAGCAGGAATACACAGCAGCGACACTTCTGCTCTGCAGCACCCCTTCCCCTCTAAACGTTGCTTTTTGTCCTCCTCAGGGCATAGTACCCAAGGATGTGATACAACACCACCTGAGCCAGCACATCACCACATCCACTAGCGCATCTCCCAACGAGAACCCCCGAACGGCAGCGACTCAGGCAGTCTTAACATCACAGAATCACCATATCTGCGCCACATTCGTCTTCAGCCTCCTCAGGGCAAGTACCCAAGTGTGCGATAATGAGCCACCTGAATGTGTAGCACCGACTTTTGAGGCGACTTTTGAGGCGCCTCAAAAAAACTTTTGCGGCACCTCAAGAGCCGCCACATCAACACACATGTGTAGCAGCGGCACGGGTGCCTACACGAGCCTTTGCTATACATTCGTCTTCATCCTCCTCAGGGCAAAGTACCCAAGCGTGCGATAAAACACCACCTGCGCCAGCAACGCCAGCACATCCACCCACGCGTCTCCCAGCGAGAACCCTCGGAACGAGGGCGCGTCCGAAATCGGGCAGATGATGGCACTCGGGTCGCTAGGCGGGCCGCATTCAAAGGTATCGGAGGGCGAGAACTGGGTTTTGATGATGAGGCGGTACGCGTAGTAGGTGAAGGAGATGTACTTGATCCATGCGATGAAGGCGGGGATGGTCTGCAGGTAGTATCCTCCTGCGAGCATGAACGTCAGCAGGAGCACCGAGGCGAGTGTCGTTGCAACCTTCACGTCCATCACCGCTGCTCCCAGGAACAGCCCGCAGCCCTGCATAGGATGGTACACATCAGGCAAGAGGGCGACAGGAGAGCATGCATGAGAGCATAGAAGGTGGGGATGGTTTGCAGGTAGTATCCTCCTGCCAGCATGAACGTTGCAACTTTCACGTCCATCACTGCTGCTCCCAAACAGAGCCTGCAGCCCTGCGAAGGAAAATCAGGAAAGAGAGGGATGGAATTGAAGGGAATGGGCTTGAGAAGGCCATGAAGTAGGCGATGAGGAGGAAGAGCGTGGGGAGGGGAGGAGCAGCAGCACCAGGGGGAGCAACGCAGCATTTGACAAGACCCACCTGAGCCGTGGTGACTATGAGGTAGGTTGAGAAGAGCAGTCCGAAAAAGGCCCGGCAGTGAGCTTGAGGGAAGCCATGAAGTAGCAGATGAGGAGGAAGAGCGTGGGGAGGGGAGCAGCAGCACCGGACAAAGGCACATGACATGACTCACGGGAGAAGGAAAGAGCACTGCACCGAACCACACACATCCCCACCCACCTGAGCTGTGGTCACTATGAGGTAGGTTGAGAAGAGGAGACCAAAGAACGCCCCGGCAGTGAGCTTGAGGGAAGCCATGAAGTAGGCGATGAGGAGGAAGAGTGTGGGGAGCAGCCACTCCATGGGGAGGTCATACAGCTGGGGAGAGAGAAACAGAGAGCATTACACAGCACCCCACATCCTCCTCTCACCTGAGCCGTGGTGACGATGAGGTAGGTTGAGAAGAGGAGGCCAAAGAAGGCCGCTGCAGTGAGCTTGAGGTTCGCCATGAAGTAGCAGATGAGGAGGAAGAGTGTGGGGAGCAGCCACTCCATGGGGAGGTCAGAGAGCTGGCGGCTGAGGTAGTAGGCTGACAGCCGGTACATGTCACTCGCCCTCTCCTTGGCTAGAATGGAGCGCTCCTGCGATACAGTGCGGTACAATGTGGTACAATGCGGTGGAATGTGGTGAAATGCGGTGGGAAGGGGTGGAAGGCGGTGGAATGAGGAACAGCCAGCAGCCACTCCATGGGGAGGTCTGAGAGCTGGCGGCTGAGGTAGTAGGCTGACAGCCAGTACATGTCGCTCACCCTCTCCTTGGCTAGAATGGAGCGCTCCTGCGGTACAGTACGGTGGCATGCAGTGCAAAGGTGGAATGCGGTGCAATGCAGTGAGAGGAAGATGAGGAAGAATGTGGGAAGCAGCAAACAAGCGGCAGAGATAGGGTTTTTTTTTTTTTTTTTTTTTTTTTTTTTTTCCGTTGGGGGGGTGGGGGGATGGGGGTGGGGTTGGGGGGAGGAGGCTGACCTGGGGGAAGGTGAAGATGGCGGCAAAGAGAGGGAAGAAGCCCCAGAAGATGGAGATGAAGAAGAGCAGTCCGACCTGGTGATGGTGGGGAGGGGTGGGAGCATAAAGGGATTTGAAGGGAGGAGACAAGGATGGGAAGAGCGGGAAGAAGCCCCAGAAGATGGAAATGAAGAAGAGCAGTCCGACCTGGTGATGGTTATGAAAATGAACGTGTGATGGAAGAGGGGCGTGGGGTGGTGATGAGAAAGGGGGTTTGCCGCCAATCAATGAGAAGGTTCACAGTGATAGGGATGCAAAGAGAGAGAAGAAGCCCCCAGAAGATGGATATAAAAAATAGCAAGCCCACCTGGTGAGAATCACAGGGGATGGAAGGGGGAATTGTGGCGAGAATGGGGGCTGATGATACGGACAAAAGGTGACAAAATGAGAGCTCATAAGAATCCCCAGAAGAACGGCAGTCGCAAATTATCTACATCTGGGCTTTCACCTGACTCTGCACCCTTTTCTAGTCTGATCCCCCACCCGAGTTTTCACATAACCCTCAATGTTCTTTTCCCGCACAATCCTCCATCTGAATTTCCACCTGATCCTGCATCGGACATCTCACCTGGTCCTGAATCTCTGTGGCAGTGTTGCGCTCCGACCCAAACCACAGCATGCCACAGATGAAGCCCAGCGCTGTCACCTGGGGGGGTAAACGAGAGGGGCAGATGTGGAGACATGGTCAGGGCAGTACGGCAGGAGTGATGAGGCAGTGTTGCGCTCCGACCCAAACCACAGCATGCCACAGATGAAGCCCAGCGCCGTCACCTGGGGGAGTGGATGTGACGGAGGGGATGAGGGGATGAGTGAGAATAGTACCGCACGTGGCAAGCCAACCAGCATGAGGAGGGGGCCTGAGACAGTGTTGAAGCCGGGCCATGACACATGACACAGATGAAGCCGGGCGCTGTCACCGCAATGGCACATGACACCGATGAAGCCGGGCGCTGTCACCACAATGGCACATGACACCGATGAAGCCGGGCGCTGTCACCGCAATGGCACATGACACCGATGAAGCCGGGCGCTGTCACCGCAATGGCACATGACACCGATGAAGCCGGGCGCTGTCACCGCAATGGCACATGACACCGATGAAGCCGGACGCTGTCACCACAATGGCACATGACACCGCAACCACCTTTTCAGCAATACCCACGAGTCCTCCTGTGGGGTTCTTGTTCCTCACTCACCTGATAGAACCTGAGCGGTGACAGCACTTCATGCCGTCTCTCCTTGAGCCCGCGCATCCACAGCACCGAGAACTGCGGCAGCCACGGCGCCGTCCACCCCACCACCACCCTCCTTTAATTCACTCACACGGACCACCACCCAAGCAACTGACCTGGTAGAACCTAAGGGGTGATAACACTTCGTGTCTCCTTTCCTTGAGCCCGCGCGTCCACAGCACCGAGAACTGCAGCAGCCACGGCGCCGTCCACCCCCGCCGCTGCAGCACGCTCTTCTGGTCGGCATCTGAGCTGGTGGGCAGCCCCGCCAGCTCAGCATGCACCAGCGGCTGCTGCTGCTCCCTGTGCCCTCGAGCCACGAACTGGGATTGAAATGGGGGATAGGAAACGGGAATAAGAACGGAAATTGGTGGGATGGGAATGGGAGGGAATTAGTTGACTCAAAAGTGCACCAGCGGCTGCTGCTGCTCCCTGTGAACCCGGGCCACGAACTGGGATTGAGAGTGTGACTGGGGATCAGACAGGGATTGGAGATGGGAATTGGGAATAGGGGGGGGCCTTTCCAACTTACAGACACGGCACAAAAGGGAGATAAGGTGAAAGGAGAATAAAAGAGATGCACAATTTTTTCGCTTCTTTTTCTTCGCCAAAAAAATGGCTCACCTCTTTCACGTCGTGTTGTTGCTCCCAAACCCAACACCTGAAACCTTGAATTAAGAGACTTGTGTATGGATGAAATGGAGACCAGCTCACCTCCTTGACGTCATGTTGCTGCTCGGGAACGCTGTTCTCCTGCCACTCCTCGCTCTCCCCAAACACTCCCGGCAACCGCACATCCGCCGTCATCCCCGTCCCTGTCCCCGTCCCTGTCGTCCCCGGCAAGAATGAATGATGGCCAAAGACCAAGCTCACCTCCTTCACGTCGTGTTGTTGCTCCAGAACGCTCTTCTCCTGCCACTCCTCGCTCTCCCCAAACACACCCGGCAACCGCACATCCGCCGTCGTCCCCGTCGCCAAATCCAGCAGGAAATCCGCTGGGTTCATCGCAAACAGCGGCTCAAATCCCAACCGCCCGAAATACCCCATCGCGTCCGCAGCCTGCCCGAAAAAAATCGCGTTGCCCTCCGATAAGAGCAGCAGCTTATCAAACGCGTGGAACAGCCTGGAGGACGGCTGGTGAATGGTAGTAACAACGGTTCGGCCCGATTTGGCGAGGTTTTGAATGACTTGAATGATGCGGAGAGCCGTGGTAGAGTCGAGACCAGACGTGGGTTCATCGAGCAGCAGCATGGAGGGGTTGATGAGGATCTCATGCCCGATGCTCACTCGCTTGCGCTCCCCCCCGGATATGCCGCGGAGGAATGGCCCTCCAATCACTGTATTGCGACATCTGAGGGGGAGAGGGGGGTGGGTTTGGAAAATCCGGGGGAGACCAGCGATTGAGAACAGTTTACACCGGTCAAGCGCGATTCAGAGCGCTCCAAGGTGGTTCAGAGCCGTTCAGAGGCTCTAGGGTGGGTTCATCGAGCAGCAGCATGGAGGGGTTGATGAGGATCTCATGCCCGATGCTCACTCGCTTGCGCTCCCCCCCGGATATGCCGTGCAGAAACGGACCCCCAATGACAGTGTTTCGACACCTGGGAGAGCGGAGGGGGTGGGGTGGACAAATTCAGGAGGAAAAGACCGATTCAGAGTGGTTCAGGGTGACTAGGAGGTGTTCAAAGCGGTTCAGAGGCTCTAGGGTGGATTCATCGAGCAGCAGCGTGGAGGGGCTGATGAGGATTTCATGTCCGATTTTGCCCCACTGCTGCTGCTCCACTTGGGGGGTATGCTCACTTGCTTGAGCTGCCCCACTGCCTGCATAGCATACCATCCATTTGAGCTCACCAGGACCGCATGGCACACATCACATGCCTACTGAACCCTGCAGCACCCCCTGTTCTCCCAATTCTCCCATGTTTCCACCCACCCATCCACCACGGTCAATTATCAAGGCCCAGCTCAGTGATGGTCTCATCGGCGCGCTGCACTTTGTCCGCCCAGCTCAGCTCACCAGGACCGCATAACATACCAACGCATGGTTACTGAACCCTGCACTGCACCCCCAGTTCTCCTGGCCCTCCCGTGTTTTGAGTCGACTCATCCAACGCATGGTTACTGAACCCTGCGCTGCACCCTCAGTTCTCCTGGCTCTCCCGTGTTGAACCACAGTCACTTATCAAGCCCCAGCGCAGTAATGGTCTCATCAGCACGCTGCACCTTGTCCGCCCAGCTCAGCTCACCAGGACCGCATAACATACCAACGCATGGTTACTGAACCCTGCACTGCACCCCCAGTTCTCCTGGCCCTCCCGTGTTTTGAGTCGACTCATCCAACGCATGGTTACTGAACCCTGCGCTGCACCCTCAGTTCTCCTGGCTCTCCCGTGTTGAACCACAGTCACTTATCAAGCCCCAGCGCAGTGATGGTCTCATCAGCACGCTGCACCTTGTCCGCCCAGCTCAGCTCTTTCAGAGCCCCCATGAGACCCTGGCTCCCATTCCCCTCTTACCCATCCCAACCGCATTACCACACTCACTTATCAAGGCCCAGCTCTGTGATGGTCTCATCAGCACGCTGCACCTTCTCCGCCCAGCTCAGCTCCTTGGGCAGGCGCAGCACAGCAGCATACATGAGGGTCTCGCGGACCGTCAGGTGAGGGAAGAATATATCGTCCTGCGTCACGAACCCCAGCCTGAGGAAATGGGGGAGGACAAGAGAGGAAGAGGGGGGAAACAGGGAGGGAGAGAGGCAGGTGAGCAGGTGAGCTCCTTAGGCAGGCGCAGCACAGCGGCGTACATGAGGGTATCCTGCACAGTCAGGTGTGGGAAGAATTTATCATCCTGAGTCACAAATCCAAGCCTGAGGGGGTGGCAGACGGGGGAAACAGTAAGGAAACGAGAGAAGCAGAAGGGGGAACCAGGGAGAGGGAGAGAGGGAGGTGAGCTCCTTGGGCAGGCGCAGCACAGCAGCGTAAAATGAGGGTCTCGCGCAAAATGAGGTGCGGGAAGAAGATGTCATCCTGATTCACGAAGCCGAGCCTGAGAAAAGGGGAGGAACAAGAGGCAACGAGAGGCAGAGGAAGGAAAGCAGGGAGGGGGAGAGGGAGTGATAAGGAGAGGGAGCTGAGCTGAGCTCCTTGGGCAGGCTGAGTGCTGCACAGCGGCGTACATGAGGGTCTCGCGCACATCATGGTGAGGTGCGGGAGGAATATGTCGTCCTGAGTCACGAAGCCGAGCCTGATAGAAGGGAGAACACCGGCCGGAGACTGAACGGTCAGGGTGCATTAGTTCAGCGCCTCAGAAATCAGAGACTGAACGGTCAGGGTGCATTGATTCAAACCGCCCAGCTCAAACCGCCCTCCAATTCTCTACTCACCCTCTCCCTTCACTCACTTCCCTCACATTCTCTCCACTACCCTCACACACTCTCCCCCTCACATACTTTTGCTTGAGCGCCTTGCTGTAATGCAGGTCGTTGTACGTCAGCGTGCCCGCCATGTTGCCCTGCTTGCTTGAACCGCCCCCCCAGCACGTTCAGAAACGTCCTTTAACTATCCCCCATTCCCACACACACACCCTTCCGCACTCGCTTTCTCTTGAGCGCCTTGCTGTAAGGCAGGTCGTTATACGTCAGCGTCCTTGTCATGTTCCCCTGCTTGCTTGAACCGCCCCCGCCAGCCCAGCACGTTCAGAAACGCCCTCTAACCGCACGCACTCCATCCCCTCCCTGGAACTTACTTTCTCTTGAGCGCCTTGCTATAAGGCAGGTCGTTGTAAGTGAGCGTGCCCGCCATGTTGCCCTGCTTGAACCGCCCCCCCAGCACGTTCAGAAACGTCGTCTTGCCTCCCCCCGACGGCCCCATCATCGCCAGCACCTCCCCCGGCGCCACACTCCCGCTTATCCCGTGCAGAATCTCCTTCTCCCGCACCTCCGCGCCCGCTTTCCCCGCCGCCCCCGCTTCCGCGCCTCCCCCAGGGCCTCCCACAGCGCCTCCCCCGCCTGCGGTTCCCCCGCGCTTGGAGGTGAGCACCGCGGGGAGGGCCGGGAGCGTGGGGAGACAGGAGTGGCGCGGATCCCAGGAACCCGCCTTGGCGGTTTGAACCTTGTAGCGCACGTCCTTGAACTGAGACGGGGGGGGGGGGGGGGGGGGGGGGGGGAGGGGGAAAAGGGGGGAAGGAGGGATGGGGGATGTGTTGGGAGGGAATAAGGGGGAACGGAACGGAAGTGGCGGGTCCAACGAGCCCGCGTTGGCGGTTTGTACCTTGTAGCGCACGTCCTCGAACTGAAAGGGGGAGCAGAGAGGGGGGAATGGGGGAAGGGGGGGATGTGGGGAGGGGGAATGGGAGGGGGAGGGGGCAAGTTGAGAGGGGGGCGAACAGCGTGGGGAGGCAGAAGTGGCGCGAATCCCAGGAGTCAGCCTTGGCGGTCTGCGCCTTGTAGCGCACGTGTTTGTATCGAATCTCACCTTAACTGTGATTGTATCAGTACCCACACATCGTGTGCCTCTTATCCAACTGTGCTTGTATCGAACCCCTCTTGTATCGAGTCTCACCTTGACTGTGATTGTATCGGTGATGTTCTTCTTGTTGTATCCGCTCATCGTGTGGCATTTATCCATCACCTTGCTCTTGCGTTGATACACGCCCCCCACTCCTCTCCCTCCTCCTCCCCCTCCTCCTTCACTGCCACAATCTTCCCCTTCTCCCCCCTCCTCCCCCCCATCGCCTCTTCCGCCTCTATCCCTCGCTGAATGCTTCCCGGAAGTCTCTGCTCCATTAATCGACAGTGCGATACCGCTAACGCTACCGTCAACGTCAACCACGACGTGAGAATCTCCGTTTAGCATTCGACTCCCTTCATGACTCTCCGCATGGCCGTTAGCTTGGCCGTTCATGTGATTGGCTGTCGGAGCAAGAAATAAGGTTAGGGACAGGTCGCCATGGGGTTAGCGGAGGAGACAGGACGCACAGGAGAAGTGAGCCTTGGACTTGAAAATTTCAGCATTGAAAATCCATCTAGTAGTTCATTGAAACTCAAAAGACGAACAGACGATGTACCAAAAACTTCGCTCCTTTCTGCAGCCGCGAGCATGTTTCGAGACGCATAGAAAACTGACGAACTAAGGAGCTGCCTGTCTCCAACCGCGAAAGCAGCGCGGAGTCTGACAGACGTGACTCCCAAGGACTGCGCCTCAGACGACACGTGGGCGACCATCCGCGAAAAAAATACCTTCAAACGGACCGTCTGGATGCAGCCTCTCGGCCTCGTCGCTCCCGCGATCCCCAGGTTGCTCCTGACGAGCCATGATGAACGGTGCTCGTCGAGCCCTGGGTAAGAAACGGCGCTCAACAAACGTAAGCGTCGGATTTCTTTTTTTTGTAGTTCGAAGCTCTCAACCAGGTGTACACTACAAACGGTGTGTGCTAGCAGCCTATTCGCAGTACAGCTGATGCGCCGACAGCCGGTGCGCGTTTACAATCGTCTGTCCGCGAAAGGCGAGAATTAGCGGAAATGACAATCGGTAAACCGTAGTTTAATCCCCACGCGTGTCGGGGTATAGAGCGGCTTCGAAGCAGGCACGGCAAGGAGCGAATTGCGAGTAAGAGAAACTTATTCCTATCTTCGAGAAGGGGGGAATACTGAAGCGACGTGGTTCGAGACCGACTCAAGACTGCCACCGTGAGAAAGCTATTTACCTCGTGACGAGAAAAGAATTCAAGACGTCGCGGGAGGAGCAGCGCAATTAGCGACGGCTGTTCGGACCCTCGATCGAGCGCACTGATGTTAAGAGCTCAAGCTTGAGAATAATCAAGAATCAGAAAACGAATAGCGGTACGCTCTAGTGCCCGAGCAGCACTAACTGAATTCCTAGCCAAAGTTGCTCTCTAGAGACTAGACGCTGGTGCCTAGATATGCTGCAATCAGCTCGACGTACTACAGTGACCAAGCGAACCACAGCACACTTTCCCTGACCCTCACTTTCCCTCTGGCCCACCACCACCATCATGTCAAGTTCCCAAGGAATCCAGTCCAGTCCCGAGGCATGTTCACTACACAGTAGGTGACAAATGATTTCGTGGGTGAGATGTGCGGCTAAGATGCGTTACGTCAGCAGCTCGGAGGGCGTGTACCCTCTCTGACCATCCGATCACTTCCATGCCGATGTCGCACCACCACCATTCATCACCCCATGTGGAAGTTCGGTTACAAAATTAGTACATGCCTACGTGGCGGCTTTTCACTCGGCGTTAGAGACGTAACCCCCAGAAGTTTCATGTCAGAAGCGGTGCGCGGGAGGCTTAACGACTTGTCTTGATTGGTCGGCGGAAAGTGCCTCCTCGAGAATGTCAATTCAAGAGCAGAGCCACGAAGCTTCATATTGAGCCAGCTGACGCAAGCATATTTAGCATAATTGCAGGGTGACAGCTGGTTGTTGATATTGTACTTTAGCATAACGGTACTGGCCATAAGATTGATGTACACCCTCTTTCTCGCCATTTGTGAATTCGGTTATAATGGAGTCAAGATGGGAAAAGCACGGTTCACGGTGGTTAATTTATGTTTCAGTGAGGTTCAATTTAGCAAATCGAGGATAACAAGGTTTTGCACCTGTTCGGCACAGTTCAGTGTAGCGAGAAACAGGGTGTAATGTTGAAAACACCAACTGCACTCAGCAGAGTAGAGTACTTCACATATCATACAGTGCAGTTAATTACAAAATAAAACATAAGTTCACCGCCCTCTGCCTGCAGATGGCCGCTCTGTTGGCTGTGTTCGTGCTCTGTTAAACACCCTTTCTCCCACATCACCACCACCGCTGCCATCACCACCACCATTACAGTTGCCACTGCCACAACCGCCACCACCCAAATGCCCTCCAGCCTTCGCTCCCCCACCACCACCCAACTTCCCTTCCCCCATGCCAACCTGCGCCCTCCTTGCAACCGCAGCCGCTTTCACGGCAGCAGCAGCCGCCGCGGCAGCAGACGAGCTAGAATTCAAACTGCGCGACTGCGCAAACGCACGAGTAGCAGCAGATGCGCCATGGGAACTGGCACCACCAGCAAAGGGACCACCACCACTGCCACCACCAGCACCACCACTGCCACTGCCAGGCTGGCGGGCGGCGGGATGCGTCATGTTCAGCGGACGATCCTCGCATGTGGAATGGCGGCGGTTCGGCCGAGCCAAAGCTGACGGCATGGAGCGGGACGGGATGTGCAGCGAGCGGCGGCGGCGGATATTACGAGGCGGCGTGAGCGGCGGGGAGCGAGGGGAGGAGGCGGGGGAGGATCCGAGGGGGGAAAGCGGTGGGGAGCGAGGGGGGGATTCGTAAGAAGGGCCAGGGGCAGACGAGTAGAGCTGGGAAGCGGATCGTGCAGGAGTGGTATTGGGGTGAGAGACCGAGAGGGAGGATGGGTGGTTTGGTTGGGGCGCGGTGCGCGAAGAAGGGGAGGGGGGGCGGGAGTCGGGTGAAGGGGAGCGGAGGAGGGGAGGGGGAGGGGGAGAGGAAGGGCGAGGAACGGGGGGAACGCGGGGAGCAGGGGAGGGATCGCGAGAATAAGTGTGGTGGGGGGGGGCGTGGGGGGAGTTGGCGGGGGAGGGGGAGAGGGGGATTGGGGAGCGGGGTGGGCAGGGGTGGAGGGGGGAGATTGGGCTAGGAGACTGAGGGCTCGTCTGCATGCTCCTCATAGCAGCAAGAATATCAAACAGATCTTCATCATCCTCATCCTCGTCACAAGCTTCCCTGTTATAAGCCCCGGCAAACGGATCCACAAGTACTGTAGATGTACCCCCCCGCACAGCTGCGCCCGCCCCAGAAATCGCCCCAGAAATCGACGGTAGGCCCACCATCCGCGCCTGATCCCCCCCCTGCATTGCCTTGTCAGATGCGGAGCGCCCCAGAGATCTCCCCTCCGCGGAACCCCCTCCGCCGTTCTCTCCGCCAGTCAGCCCCGCGGAGGCAGCTGCGCTCAAGTCGACGGATAGCCGCGAGGCGGGCTGGTAGCGCGCGGAAGCGGAGCGCCTGACCGCGTTGAGTTGCACTTGCGCCGCCTCCGCGCCTTCCTGCGCCGTTGCCCCCGCGCGCCTCCCCGCGTGCTCCTTGCCTGAAACCGACCGCCCCTGTACTCCGCGCCTAGAAAGCACGCTCCCGCCCCCCTTCCCGCTTCCGCCCGTTCCGGTTCCCCCCCCCGACGCTACACACGGACTCGCGTGTCCCGAACCGGAACCCGAACCTGCTTCGCTTGCTTCGTCGCTCTGCGCCGCCAGATCCAGCAGCATTTTCTGAACGTACAGCTGCCGAGCCGACGAGGTTCGGGACAGGCCTGGCGCCCCTGCGCCTGCCACGGTTCCACCCGCGCCACTTGCGCCCGTCCCCTCCTGCGCCTGCGCAAGCAGCGCCCTTTTCGCCAACCCGGGGAGCTCCGGAAGAATGCTCCGCTCATGGGGGAACGAGGGGGAGCCCCGCGATGCGCCGCCCGCAGCTGCCGAGCTTGCCCTGCCCATGGCGGAGAGCGGCGGCGCGGCGGCGCCTGCGCGCGCTCGCGGGGAATCCGCGGGAGAAAGAAGCGCGGAGTGCCGCTCCGAGAAACTAACGGTCCTATTACCGCCGCTGCTCCTTTCCCTGCTCCTACTGCTGCCGCACCCGTTACCGCTACCGCTGCCGCTCCCGCTGCCACTGCTCTCGATAGTGGGGAGGCCTTTAGTGCAGGGGACCAGCTCCTCTAAATGCGGCGCGTTTTGCGGGGGATCTTGCGTCCGCTGGAACTCCAACGACGCCCACGAACGCCCGCGGACGAGCGAGCGGGGGCCTCCGCTGGTAGTGGCGGCGTGCGGTAACATCCGGTGGGACTGCGAACCGAACCCGAACAGCTTCCGCGCACCCGCGGACACCGCTCCGCCAGCCGGAGTGTCTGCGTGCCCCGCATTACTTCTTGATCTAGCTTGCGCAGCGCTCGCCGGCTGCGCCTGAGATCGCGCGCAGCAGGCTCCGCCAGTTCCCCCCGTCGCGCGCGCCCCGTGCCCGGCGGCGGCCGCCACGCCTCCGGCTTGCTTGACACCCGACTCGTTTCCCAATCCCCGCGCAAGGTCCGAACCACTGAGCCCACTGCAACTGCTTCCGCTACTGCTGACTCCGCTGCCGCCACCGCCGCTGCCACCGCCGACTCCGCCGCCTATTGCGGTCCTTAGCTGCTGCGCTTGCTGCAGCTGTTTCTTCAGGTGGAGGTTCTGCTTCTCCAGGTTTTGATGCGCAATAACCGCCGCAAAGGGTGCCGAAAAAGGCGCCGGCTTACCCCCCCCGGATGGCGCCGTGTAGGAACGTTGCGGAACGTCCGCCGCTTCCTGCGCCCTTACCCTCGCATGCGCGTCCCTTGCGGCGCTAGCTCCGCAGCTCGCTCCGCCCTTGCGCAACAACGTCTCCTGTGGCTTGGCCAGCGCCTGCGCCCTCCCCGCTTGCGCGCGTACTGGCGCTTGGCGCTGCTCCCCCCGCCCCTCCAAACAGCTCGCACTCTTCTGCAGCGCGCGGACGACGGGCCCGCGGAAGGTGGAACCCGCGGAAGCTGCGGAAGGGGGGGAGGTTACGGGCGACCCCGCAGCGGGGCTGCAGTCGGGGGGAGTAGGGGAACCGGTAATGTGGCAGTAAGCCGCTAAGAACTCCTCGTCCGAAGAATCCAAATCTTCTCGAAAACTTTCCGCTTTTCGGGACGCCGCAAGTGCAGCAGCTAGCGCAGCGGAGGAGGAACGCGGGGATACGGAGGGGGAATCGGGGGAAAGAGAGGAAGAGCGGAGTGCCTGCACGGATAGATTACTGCGCGGAGAGCGTGAGGGGAAGGCTTTCTGCTGGCGGTCGCTAGGACTGAGGGAAGAGCATGCGCCTTGGCGGAGTGATGGCGGGAGCGCGGGGGAGCCTTTTTTGTTCGACAGCGCGACTTTTTCTAACGAAGATTTCGGCACGGTTACCAGCAGTGGCGGCACTTCGGAATGGCTTCGCCGGCGCTGCTGCAGAGGCACGGGCGACGAGTGGGCCGAACAGTCCCGGCTCGCGGAACCAGGAACGTAAACGCCGCCGGTAACGGAGACGGAAACCGTTTCCGAGACTGGGTTTCGGCCGGATCTGGCGACGTCGAACGACCTACGGCTACTAGCTGTTCGTCGATCTACCTGCTTCGACCGGCCCTCCGCGCAAGCTTGTGCCAACCAGTTAATCTCCTCCCTGCTGCTACCTTCCCTGCTGCTATTTTCCCTAGCGCTTTCCCTAGTGCCGCCGTCCCTGTAGCTAGCCGTTCTCCGGCTACCTTGCCGGTCGTTACTAATGCTTTGCTCCCACTGCTGACAGCTCTCTAAGCGGCTGCGATTCGGATCTTTCTGCGCCGAGGCGCTGAGCTGCGGCGGCACTTGCCCGAGGGTCAACGAATTTCGCTGGCTGTGGTAACCGTCGTGTGTCCGCGTGTGCGACAACTGCACGTGCTGCTGCTTCTGCTGGTGTAGCACCTGTTTCAGCTGCTGCCGGAGCCGCGAACTAATCACCTCCCAAGGCACGTCCTCCTCGTCATCTTCCTCCTCACGCTCACCTCCCGTCTTCCCGTCATTTCCGGGATATCCGTAATCCACGTCATTTTCGTAATCTCCGTTATCCCTGGCGTCGTCTCCGTCATCTTCTCCGAAAATAGCCGCCCACTCCTGTTCCAAACCCTGCGCGCCGAGCAAGGACGGCCGCTCCTGGAGGCCGCCTGCCGGCCGGCACGCGGCGGCTTTGAGCGCTTCGGATCCGCAGCGCGACGAAGGGGACGAGCCGAGCGACGCGGAGAAGCAGTCTGGGGGAGAGAGACGCGCTGCGAGACAGACGGATGGATCTGCGAAAGGATGGCTAGGAGCGAAATGATCGGAAGGATGCATCGTGTCTGGAGGGGAGGGTCGAGCAGCAACGCCCACGTTCATCTTTATCGGCGAGATACTGCTAGCATTCGAATGGGAGTCAAGCGGCTCTAATTTTTCCTTCGAGATACTGCTAGCATTCGAATGGGAGTCAAGCGGCTCTATTTTTTCCTTCGAGAAACTACTAGCATTCGAATGGGAGGAACAGACCGACCGTTGTCGTCACGAAAAATGAGGGGCAAACTTTTATTTTCGGAAACTCTGCTGGCATAGAGTAAAATGAGCTCGGTTGGTAAGTTGTGAGTGCGATGCTTCTGCGATTCGAGCAGAAAGAGAGGCCGTGACGTGAGCCAAGAACAAGTTGCAAACGACGGTGGAAGGACAGGAGGAAAGATAAGAGCGGAGAGAGAACCAGCGTGGAAGGACGGTGAGTGGAAAACCGAGGTGAAGGGGAGGGGAGGGGAGTGGGGGTTGGGGGGATTGTGGGGGAAGAGTGGGGCCGAGTGAGGGGAGGGGAGGGGAGGGGGAGGGGGGAACGGGAGGGGAGGGGAGGGGAGGGGGAGGGGGGAACGGGAGGGGAGGGGAGGGGACGGGAGGGGAGGGGAGGGAAAGTGAGGGGGAAAGGAATCTTGGTCGCCTCGCCGCCACAAAACATGCAAGCAGCAGCATTCAACATTCCAACCAAACTCGTTGGAAACGAACCGCCATGCCACAGACCACGGAAATCGGATGGGAACATGGAGGTTCTGGGGTGAGGAATATCGCATCCCAAGAACAGCCATGAAAGTCCTGGGATTTCCGCCCCAGTGAGGAGGTGATGTGAGGAATACAGTTCTTACATCCCAGCAGAAGCCGTGAAAGCCTTGCGATTTCCGCGCTCTGCCCTGGTTCAGTTTTCCGTCCCAGGTTCTGGCGCCAGCTTGTGGCAGTCGAATTTTTTCCTGACGTGCGCGCCATTGGGCGGTACTGTACTGCACCAGGCAGACTTTCAGCAAATCCTCGATTTCCTATGTAGGCTGGGAAAGGGGAGACAGGTTTGGAATGGACACATGGGCTGTTTCGGCATTGAGCTGCTATCTAGGCGGAGCGCGGGCAAGTAAAGAGGAGCAGCAAACCACTAGAAAATGCTGCCGGAAACTTGGAAATCCCGAAATGTTCCGGGAACAAGGTTCAGAACCAAATCTCGAACCGTGGATCTTGGTCAAAGGATGTCAAGTGGAGGTTTCAAATTTGACCTGCCTAGTGTTGGGCGGTTTTTACGAATTCAGGAGGCGGCGCCTTCCTGCCGAAGCTGGCCATTTGTTTGGTTCGGAATTTCGGGCACCCAGCCACTCGCGTTCAAGGTTACACAACCGACCAGCTGTAACGTCCAGCACGGTCTCACCATTGTCTCCGTTTGCAGCGGGAAGCGGTGGATTTATTGCCACTTAATGATTTTAGTGGTGTTTGATCCGCTTCATGCAGTGCAAGGACGAACGTGGAAAATCGTGTCATCATTCGAGTCTTGTCACTGTACGGGTAAGAAACAGAACTTGGGAGGTTTTTCTAGTGCCGTTTGTTGGGTTTCGTGAGATTTGTGGGAACAAAACACTGAATATAACTTTGTATTACAGCCTGCCCAACGGTGGTTAGTGAGGGCAGCGAGTTGGGATCTACAGTAACCGTGAGTGATGGCATGTGAACTGACCAACCAACGCCTTCCTTTCCGCCAGAGACCGTCAGGCATGAAGAGACACGACAAGATGCATGCATGCACGCGTACACCCAAGAAATCTCCATATGATTCACTGCACGAGCCAGCGCGGACGAGGTTAGGTGTGTCGTGTGGCTTGGGGCAGCAGCAGCCCGTGTGAGTTGGAACCGCTGGGGCTCACACGCTTCTTGCATGGATGGTTTGATCCCAAAAGGCGGTACCCTTATTGTATGTCCTTCACGAGCAACGAGCAGTAACACGCATTGATAATAGCGAGTTTGTGAACAGTCGAACTGACAATCAGTTTAGTTGCATATTTAGCCCTCTATTTTACCCAAGGGTTGCCTCAACCTGTAGATATTTCATCTTGCCGTGGGCATATGCTAATCAGTGGTGAAGGTGGAACATTACACACATGCTGTGAACAATAGGCAGGCTGCTAATGTTTCCCATGTTAAGAATTGTCGAACAAGAGTAAGAAAGCAATCCCAACAAAAGAAGACGCTCATCGTCGGGCCTTGAAGGCAAAGCGAATAGGGGGTGGAGATATTGCTGCTCTGTGATGGAAGCACATAAAGTCGACTGGCACTGGTGTTTGCACCACCCTGACAGAGAAAGGCAGCACGAGAAGGATACCATGCACACCATACGCAGAGAAAGTAGATAAACCACAAAGAACACTGAATGAAGTACTCTGGTAATGCGGGAAACGGTCAGCAGGCAGGTAAAATTATTTCTGTTGACCGAGACACTGATCTACCCGTTAATGTGACACCAACAAAAATATTAGAAGACTGACTTATCTCGCAACACTGACCTGTTCTCATAAAACTGTGCTGTGACACCGACATGTTATCATACAAACTGTTCCCATGACACCGCCTGTTCTCATGATATTTGTACAAATGATGCAGACGTGTCTCACGGAAAACTTTTCTCGTGACACAGAGATGTCCTCATGCAAACAGTTTATTCCTGTGACACCCAGCCAATCAGCCGCTCAACCAATCTCGTGACACAAAAAGTGGAACGGGGTGAAAAAGGTAGCTGTTCACATACTCAGAAAGCTGAATGGCTTTTGAGGCGCCTCAAAAGTCACCAAGCCAATCAGCCAATCTCATGACACAAAAGGGTGGGGTGAAGGGGGTACCTCGTGAAAGCTGAATGGGCAGGAAGTCTCCCGTTCTTGTGACACCAACAAGAAATTTGGGTGTCAGACTTATCTCGTGACACAAAAGGTGGGGTGAAGGGGGTACCTGTTCACATCCTCAGACGGCTGAACAGTTCATGTCTCCTCATGCAAACAGTTCAATTCCATGACACCCATACGATCAGCCAATCTCGTGACACAAAGAGGTGGGGTGAAGGGGGTACCTGTTCACATCCTCGGACAGCTGAATGGGCAGGAAGGATTCTCCTGGAAGGTTCACAGCTGCCCAGATGGTGAAGAAAAGACCAGCAGCAAGTTCCATAAAAACCTGCAAAGAGAGGGGGGGGGGGGGGAGAGGAGGGAGGAAGGGTTGGGCGAGTGCGAGCAGGGGAGGAGGGGAAGGGGGTGGGGAAGAAAGGGGGGGAGGGGGGGGAGGGGGGGGGGGAGGTAGACGAGGGGGAAGAAGAGGGGGTTGAGAAGTAGTCAGAAGGGAGAAGTGGGGCAGGATGAGGGAGAGGACAACGGCATTGTGACGGACGCGGGAGGAGGCAAGGGAAGGGTTAGCAATGAGAAGCGTGGAGACGAGGGTTGATGAGAGAAGAACGCAGTCGAGAAGGGAAGACAGCGCACAAAAGATACGGCAAAGAAAACGAGGGCGGGGCGGAAAGGAAGGAGGGAAAGGCGGTCGCAGAGGGGCAGTGGAAATGCGACAAAGAGGGAACACCGACAATGGAGGGTAAGGATACGAAAATCCTTGGAGAAGTGATAGGAGAAAAGGGTGAAGCTAGATTGACCCACCCACTGACTTGAATGCTGGGAATCGCACGATGAGAAGAACAGACAGAAGAGTAGGGGGCATACTGACATGCGTGGGTGGCACACTGACGACCTGTGTGGGCGGCAGGATGAATGGCTCATCAAGGTCCTCCAGTTGTTTTGAGACGTCTCAAGACAAATTCAATATCACATACTGACATGCGTGGGTGGCACACTGACTGACCTGTGTGGGCGGCAGGATGAATGGCTCATCAAGGTCCTTCAGTTGTTTTGAGACGTCTCAAGACAAATTCAATATCACATACTGACATGCGTGGGTGGCACACTGACTGACCTGTGTGGGAGGCAGGATGAATGGCTCATCAAGGTCCTTCAGTTGTTCCCGGTCTGCATAGAGATTGTGAGTACCAACATGAGAGTCAGTCCGATTCTGTCAAGTGCTTGAGACTTAGTCAGTTGAGATCAGCCGTAGGGAACTTCGCCCGGTAAGATTCAGTAAGATGACAATCATCAGATGGAAATCCATCAATTAAGTTGGTGAAACGAGAATCTGTCAGTAGGAAAATCAGTCACACATGAGAAGTCACCAGCGTGGATGGACAGAACAACAATCTCGATACAGACACCAGGGACGACGCAGGAGGATTACAGATTAGGGTTAGCATAGAAGAGTAAAGTGCGCCGTGAAGAACGAGGCGTGGACGAAGAATATGAGTCCCGCCATTGTCGCGAATGACGGCGAAGAATGGCCAGCGAATAGGGTTACCGGAAAAACGTACAGTGCGCCGTGAAGAACGCGGCGTGGACGAAGAATATGAATCCCGCCACCGACGCGATGTAAGGCACTGGGACCGCCATGCGAACAAGTCGCACACGAGCTTAAATCGCACGAAAAGAGTCGCACGATCAGATTCGCACGAACAGTGTCGCGCAATCCGCGTGCACGCGATCAGTGCGGAGCAGACGGGTTGGAAACAACCAGCTTCGGTAGTCGGATCTGATCGTGCGACTCGTTTCGTGGATCAGGCCACTAGACGTCCGGTCAGGTTCTGAATCGTGGCGTCTTTAAATCTAGCATGTGTCTCGTTCTTAGGCTACGCGGCTCTGAATTAGCACAGCCAATTGTACCGTGCGATTCCTGCAAGGTTACGCTGCTCTGGACACGAACAGCCAAGTGCGACGTGATCCCCGATTTCAATCCCAATTCTGTTAGTCTGTGCTTCTGTCTCTGGTTCTGTTTCAATGGTTTATATCTGTCACACCAGCAAAGCAAATGCAATCATCTGGTGCATCAATTGACAAAATGAATAACATGCTAGTCTATTGGATTAACTGTCTACATACACCTAAACCAAGCCAACACCTATTGCAGTAATAGTTTCATGGTACGGTAATGATCCATTCAAAGTTCCTAATAATGGTCCAAATTTAATATTAATCACTTGTACTATTGTACTACCCATGCACTGTAGGTATGCATGGGGGGTTCCTCTTGGCCGCCAGGAGCAAGCTCCCAACGTTACACCCAAGCACCGCGGTGAGGTGGGAACCATCGCTTGGGACCCCGTTGGGGGGGGAGTCAGAACACAAAAGGATACTGGATACTGCCCATGGGCAGGTGAAAATTAATCTCAAATTCAATGTTGCCCGGTTTTGCTTCCTGACCAGCTGTACAGTTTTTCTTACTGCAAGATTTGCAGTGAGGAACAAGCGATAGCGTTTTGGGACATCTCCCAAAACCCTGATTTTGTTCACTGCAGCTAAGCTGCAGTGAGGAAGGCGTGAGTTTTGAGTCATCTCTCAAAACTCACAAATTGTGTAAGGAAGAGAGAGAGAGAGAGAGAGAGAGAGAGAGAGAGAGAGAGAGAGAGAGAGAGAGAGAGAGAGAGAGAGAGAGAGAGAGAGAGAGAGAGAGAGAGAGAGAGAGAGAGTTAGTGAGCTTTGAGATGTCTCCCAAAACTCAGAGAAGAGAAGAGAGGAGGAACGGAACACTGCAGTGCACTGCAAGACACAACAGAACTGCCACCGGCAGCTCACAACTGGATTTGAGGCGCCTCAAACCAGCAAACAAGGTCCTCACACCCCACTCTCACTCTCATTCTCACTCTACCCTCACACTGCAGCTTGCCGCAGTTCTCAACACTAGCTGACTCACACTCAGCCTCACTCTAACTCTCACTCCATCCCCTGACCCTCACGCTGCAATCTGCTGCAATTCTAAGCACTTAGCTCTTCCCTCACTCCTCTTCCATCGCACTCTGCTGCCCCCCACACTCTCCCTCTCTCTGCCTTCCTCACACTCTGCTTCCCCTGCAACCCCTGTTCCCCGCTAACTGCTCCCCCCTCACTCTGCTTCCCCCCACTCTCCTCCATCCCCTGATTTGCTGCATCTCCTACATCTCTACTTCATTTCTGCTCCATCTGCATCGTCTGCTTCATCTGCATCATCACTTCACTTCACAGCACCACCAGCAGCTTATGGGCGGGAGGTAGGAGCGAGGAAGGTAGCAGCTGGCCCTCTCTTCTGCTCCCAGCAGCTGCCTGTCGTCTCCAACTGCTGCCGCCATCGCTGGTGCAACTTCTATCATACCCTTCTGCTGCCACCGATGGTGTCACTGAGGGCCTTGTCTTCTGCTGCTCCCACTGCTTCTGCCACAGCTGGTGTCACCAATGGCCTTTTCTTCTGCTGCTGCCTCTCCTTTTGTTGCTGGCCGTCTCCTTTGCTCCTCCACTCCTCCTATCACTTCATACCACCAGCAGCAGCACACAGGAGGGAGGAAGGAGCGAGGGAGGTAGCACTTGTAGCTGCTGCTGTCTTCTGGTATTGCTGATAGTCCCACTGCTGCCACTGCTACTGCCATAACAGCAGCACCTCTCCACCTCCACCAAAGCAGCTTCCATCCCATCACTTTGTAGCACCTTTAGCTGCTACCCCACTGCAGGGACTCCCACTTCCATGCAGCTACTGTCGTCCCGTGTTTCCATAGCACCAGCAGTAGCACAGGGGATAGAACAGGAGCGCATGAGGTAGCAGCTGCAGTCCCATCACATTGTAGCACCAGCATTAGCACAGGCGAGAGAGGCGGGAGAGAGGGAGGTAGCACAAGGCAGCAGCAGCAGGTAGCAACAGCTCAAACTTGCTCATGTCAATGCTGGTACCTTCACTTCGCTCCTCCATGTGGCCAGTGCAGCTGTGCTCTCCGATGCTCTCCTCCCCTCCGCCAACTCCTCTGCTCCTCTCCTGTGTTTCCCCCAAACTCTACTCCCCCACCACTCTGCAACCTGTGTTCCCCTGCTTCCATCTGCGTAATCTCCTTCCCATCTGCGTCATCTCCTTCACAGCTGCATGATCTACTTCACAGCTTCTTCATCCCCTTCACAGCTGCTTCATTCGCTTCACAACTCCTTGGCAGCAAAAGGTAGCTAAAGGTGATGGCAGCTGATGGCCCACTGGCCCGCTGATGGCAGTCCAGCCGCCATGTAGCAGCCGTCTGCTCTGCTCGCCTATAGCAGCGGTCTCATCTGCTCGCCTATAGCAGCCGTTTCCTCTACTCGCCTGTAGCAGCCGTCTCCTCTGCTCGCCTCTAGCAGCCGTCTCCTTTGCTCACCTGTAGCAGCCGTCTCCTCTGCTCGCCTGTAGCAGCCGTCTTCTCTGCTCGCCTGTAGCAGCCGTCTCCTCTGCTCGCCTGTAGCAGCCGTCTCCTCTGCTCGCCTGTAGTAGCCGTCTCCTCTGCTTGCATGTAGTAGCCATCTCCTCTGCTCGCCTGTAGCAGCCGTCTGCTCTGCTCGCCTGTAGCAGCCGTCTGCTCTGCTCGCCTGTAGCAGCCGTCTCCTCTACATCTCCACTGCTGATCCGTCTCGTCTACTGCTCCCTCGCCTCTGCGTCCTTCTGTGGAATGGGAGGAGAATGACTCAGGGACGATGAGTGTAAGGCACTCCCTGCACCCACTGACAGGGGGGCCAAGCCAGACCAGGGTGCCAAGACAGAATTCAGAGCAAATGCAAAACCAAGGCAACGACATTTGAAGAAACAAAACAACTCAAGTGAAAAAGAGAATCACCATTGGCAGTGAATAGTAATCCACCACCGTGCTCCTTAGCTCTTTGCACTTCAATGCAGCACCACTCCCCCTCCAGTGCAGCACCACTGCTGCTGCCACTGCTGGTGTCACTGCTGGCCTTCTCTTTCTCCTACTGCCACTGGTAGTGTCACCGCATGCCTCTCCCCTACTCCCACCGCTGGTGTCACTACGGGTGCCACCTCCAAAGCAGCAGCAACAGAACCACCTCCCAACGCAGCAGCAGCACCACTCCACCACTTCACAGCACCAGCAGCAGCACATGCGAGAGAGGTTGCAGCGAGGCAGCACAAGGAAGCTAAAGGTAGGTACAGCTCGCACCTTGCTGCTGCCAACTCTCGCCCCTACTCTGCTCCTCTCCTCTATTCACCTGCTCATCACCTCTCTTGCAGTGGCCTTCTCTTCTGCACACGGGAGGGAGGCAGCATCATTTTCTCCCTCTGCTGCTCCTCTGCTGCTCTGCAGTGGCCTTCTCTCCTGCTGACATTGCTGCTGCCACTGTAGCATCATTTTCTCCCTCTACTCTAAAGTGGTCTTCTCATTATTTGCGAGCGCCGATAATCGATGATGCTTGCAACCCTCCCACGCCCTTGCTGGCTTGGCAATAGGACCAGACAAGTGCAACCACGTGACCCGACGGAAAACAAACGCTCGGAACGAGTGCTTCCACCCCCAAAACGCGGAAGGAGCCGCACATGTGCAGGAAGTGCAGCGAGCGCTCTTCATTCGCGAGCGCTGATGACCGATGATGCTTGCAACCCTCCCACGCCCATGCCGGCATGGGAATATGACCAGAAAAGCGCAGCCACGTGACCCACCGGAAAACAAACACTCGGAACGAGCGCTTACACCCCCAAAACGTGGAAGGATCCGCACATGTGCAGGAACTGCAGCGGTCGCACTTCATTCGCGAGCGCCGATGACCGATGATGCTTGCAACCCTCCCACGCCCTTGCTGGCTTGGAAATAGGACCAGACAAGCGCAGCCACATGACCCGGCGGAACAAAAGCGCTCGAAACGAGCGCTTCCACCCCCAAAACATGGAAGGACCCGCACATGTGCATGAAGTGCAGCAGGCGCTCTTCATTTACGATCGCTGATGACCGATGATGCTTGCGACCCTCCCACGCCCTTGCTAGCTTGGTAATAGGACCAGACAAGCGCAGCCACGTGACCTGGGGAAAGAAAAACGCTCCGAACGAGCGCTTCCACCCCCAAAACGCGGAAGGATCCGCACATGTGCTGGTAGTGCAGCGAGCGCTCTTCATTTGCGAGGCGCCGATCCCGATGATGCTTGTAACCCTCCC